GAGAGAAATTCAATTGAATTAAATCTTAATTTTGATATAGATTTGAGCATTTAGAAAGAAATGGCAAAGTGTGTAGGGAAGTGTGTGTTTGTACCTGACGAATCTGAAAACATCGCATGGTGCTGTTTTTATCTTCTTCTTGTTTTCAAAGAGTGTGAACATTTCCTGTTTCTTGTGTCAGGCAGTTCCACAGTCAGTTGGCATGTCAGAGTCAGAGGATGTTCTAACACAGAGGCTGAGATGAGCTGAAGTCCACTCTGTTTGTATTTGATCCTCCCGTCCATCGATCTGCTTCTCCAGCAGTGAGGTAAGACACTGACACGACTCAAATCTATGTTCAGGCTGAATGTCTCTGGTTATGAGGGCTGATGTTTCCTTTAGTGATGCCATCACTTATTGAAGAGAAATGTTCTGCTCTGCCACCAAAGGCAATATATGTATCAAGTTTTTGCCACTGTCCACTTTAAATCCTTGCTTTAACTTTTTTATATTTCAGACGTTAAACAACTTTCAACGTGAAATGTTTTTTTCTGTACAGAAAGTTTCATCAGGAAGTTTGATTTTTACTCCACAATGTTTCAGTTCTGTGTATGTCTCTCTGAAACGGGTGTGGTGAAAGACTGATGACAGTTTCATCATAAGATGTCACCAGCAGTCGCAGACACATGACGCATTGATTTTTCCCCACGCGTGTTAACTACTTTTATCACCCGGCAGCCTCGTGCATCATAGCCTGTGAACATGAATCTGTTCTGTTGTTTCAGATCTTTTACTCAACGATGATGCGTCTCAGCATGAAGGCCTGTCTGCCTCTGCTGTTTGGAATATCTCTTTTGTTTTCTGTGGAGGGTGAGAGCAACAAGACAGCTACTGCTGCACCAACCACAGCCAGCATGCTGCTCACCTCTGCACACAATAAATCAGAGACTCTTGGGACAACTTGGGATCATTCTGCAACTCACAGTCCTACAGAAGTGGCTGCAACAGCTCACGCCACTGTGTCACACACAGCAGAAACAGAGGAGGCAGTTGTAAGAAACAGCAGCGTGGCTGGTTTGGTTGTTGTGAGCACAGCGGCAGCAGCAGTGACAAGAAGCTCAGGTCCACCGATGCTTCGTACCTCAACAGCGGTGACCACAGCTCAGCCTGCAGGTGATGCACAACCTCCCCGTGATACAACAATCTCAGAAACATCGAAACCTACAGAGGACGAGATGCAGCGACGATCATCCACCAACTCTACGGACGGGGGTACACCTGTAATGACCTCTGCAGCATCGTCAACGTTGCAGCGACGATCATCCACCACCTCTACTGACGGGGGTACACCTGTAACGACCTCTGCAGCATCGTCAACGTCGCAGCGCCTCACGTCCGCCATTAAACCTGAGGTTACATCGAGTGTATCTCCCAGCAACTCCTCTACCATCAGCAGTCCCTCATCTTCTACCTTGACTGTAACAAACCCTGCCTCCGAGGTATCACCTGCATCTGACCCCACTTCTTTACCAGTCATGACAACAAAGACCCTCACCACCGGCAGCTCCGACATTTCAACCACGTCTCAACCCGTTTCTCACCACGTCTCCTCGTCGCAGTTCCCCGACACAGCGGGGTCGAGCTCTCCCACTGAGTCTTCCACCGCCACAGTCTCCGACAGCTCCTCCATCTCCACCTCTGCCGTCTCCACCAGTCCGGCAGGTATCTTTCCCAAGAGGTTGCCAAGCCCATCAACTACACCAACTCCATCAGCTACAGTAGCACCTTGTAAAGTCTCAAAAGTCCCACCCATCATACCTGAGGTCCAGCCCTGCTCTACCCGCGGCGTGGTGAGCCACTGTCTCATCGCCATCGCCTCTCTGGCTACATTGGCCACCATCTTCATGGTCACTACCGTTGTCCTGTGCTCCAAGCTGTCATCGAGGAGGTACAAGGTCAGGAGGCACCAGCAGTCGACTGAGATGATGTGCATCTCTGCCCTGCTGCCTGAGGAGGAATTTTCCTACAGAAGGCACCGCACCCCGATCACCAACGGCATCCTGGTGATCCCAAGCGGCCGAGACAGTGACGACGAAGTAGGAGATAACGTCACTCTCAGCAGCTTCCTCCCAGAAAATGAGCGTTATGTTTAGAGACATCAGATTTGCAGATTATGGAAGGACTGAGGACTTATTGACAACTCAGAGCTCTTTACAGTCACAGTCATTCACTATACACAACGCTTTTCCTATCCAGTGCAGACGTTAGGGCCAGTTTGGGGTTCAGTATCAAAAGATACTTCATAATGCAGCCTGGAGGAGTCGGGGATCGAACCGTCGATCTTCATCTCTACCTCCTGAGCCACAGATGAAAGATTAGACGGATCAGGCTGATGTCAGTGATGTAGAGACAGTTGCTGTTTTAATAACAAACCGCTTCCTCTTTGATGTTGGTGGTAGCTTCAGTGCACGCTCCTGCAGGAAGTAGTGACACACGCACATTTTATAATCTTATAAAGAGTGAACATCTGAAAGTGGCGCACGATCAATGATTTTATTTTTTTGGGCCTCGATGGTATTTCACTCAGGAAGACTTGTTTCGTCACAGACGCTGGTCTCTGGTCCTGTGAGGCTTTATCATATAAATTGAGTATTTTGACTGATCACAAACTTTGTGTGTCTCTGAATGTGTGATATTTGTTTTGAAATACAGTTTCTGGGATAATTTATTAAAGGAGAATCATTTATAATGCTTTTTTTTCCATGGGTCTGTTATTGCTTCTCAATTTCTCACAAACTTCCTGGAAAGAATTCTGTAATAAAGACAAAGATCAAACCAAAAAGTTGGAACAAAAAATCTGTTCGATGTCTGCTGGATCCAGAAAACGTTTGAAAAAGAAAAAATCTGCACACTTCAGAAGTCTGAGGAGGATAAATAAATCCATTAACAGGAGCTTTAGGTGTGCACATTTTAAAAAGAATGTTTTAAAGAAATCACCAATCCGTTATCTATACCACTTATCCTTTAACATCAACCTACGTGGTTCGAAACTACCCTGTTTGAAAAAAGGCATGAAGGGCCTAGGGAAGGGGTTAAGGGTAATAGGGAGTCAGTCCCAGCAGACACAGATACACACTGGACAGGTCAACAATTCATCGCTGGGCCGACATACAGAGACAAACAACTATCAACACTCACATTCACACCTCTGGTCTCCAATTAACCAAACTCCATGTCTTTGGACTGTGGGGGGACGCGGGACCACCTTGAGAAAACCCACACAGACACAGGGTCAACATGCAAACACACATAAAGACCTGGGCTGAACCAGGATTCAAACTGAGAACCTTTTTACTCCATTTAAACCCAAACAAAAAGGCAGCCTGGGTAATTGGAGCTGAGTGTTCTGTAGTTTACCGGTTGAACACGAGTATTTGAGAGAATGTTTTGTGCTGAAAACGTTTAAAATAAAAGTCAAAATTATAAAAAAAAGACCAGATGGAGTTTTCATTTCATGTGTCTTTGACCTCAAGTCACTTCCTTTATTTGTGAAAAGCTTCATAGAAGGCTTTTCTTCCGCCCTAGATTTGATATCATGTTCACTTCCCTTCCTGCGAAAAAGAAAACAGAGCTCTGAATACTTATTAGGGCCTGTGAAGCCAGTGCTTTATTTTTCTTTTCATCCTCTCTGCCTTTTTTATTTTGTTTTCTTCATACTCAGCAAAGAGCATCAGAACCAGACACCGGTGACTCTGAGCAGAGCCCAGACGAATGTAAACCTGGAGGAAGCCGGACCTTCATCTCCTGCTCCTCGGTGACCATATAAAGCTTGACTTGTCTTTGACTGATCACAAACACCGTCGACTTGCCAAAAATGCATCCGGGCACGTACACACACACGATCACTCACAGACTCACACTCACTCGCTGCGTTGTGTCCCTAAAGTGGTCACACACACCATGTGAGTTTAATTGCTTGACTCTGAGGGGAAAAACAGAAGAAACACACCACGTTGTTTCAAACAGTCTGCCCCTCTGCTTTCCCCCCCGTCTCCTGGCTGTCCACACAGGAAACATTAACCTCTTCCTGCATTAACCGGTCACTCGTTCAAACCACACTCAGTCTGACTCTTACGTCTTAACCCAGAGAGGCTTTGTTTTAAGTGGTCAGTGTCGGAGGCCAAGGGGTTAGAGGGGAGGCCAGGCCGTCCATCAGAGCAGGAATCCTGGAGAAATGAGAAGATCCTGATGCTGATGATGTTTGAGCCACAATTGACTCTAATTTTTGTTGTCTTGGTCTGACACATCCAGTCAGCCACACTTAAGGGTGCAGGAGAGGACCCTGCCCCCACAGCACATAATAAACTCCTGCCTGTAACAAGAACAATCTGTGTGCAGGCCGGAGAGCCCAGACACTCTTGGGGAAACTGAAGAGGGGGAGGAGGAGAGCAGAGGAGAGGCAGAAGGAGGGATTTGTCCTCATGGTTAAAGACAGATTTTTTTTGCACTATCCAGACAAACCCCCAGCCCTGAAATCTGAAACTGCAGAAGTTGCGTTGGCTCACCGAGCAGTCATTTCACTGTTAGTTCACTTTTTCCAGACTGGTTTCACTCGTCCTCCCATCAGACTCCAGCTGAGACGCTTCTTCAGGACAGTGAGTGAGATGTTTTGTCATTTTTTACGTTGCTCTTCCTCTGAATTCTTTCCAACTGTTGCATGGTCAAGCTGAACTGGGCTTTTATTGACATCATGTTGAATCAGATGACAGTTTGAAGTGAGGGATGTGACAGCACCGTGATGCCTTCACAGCAGCCTTCACACTCAGGAAGACAGAGCACGACTATTAAAACTTCAAGTTGAACATTAACAAAAAACAGAATCTAGCTTTGTGCATTCTTGCACATTTTATCATTGTTCCGTTTTATCTGCGTCCTCCCGTGTGTGTGTGTGTGTGTGTGATTGCACAGGCATGTGCGGCTGTGTTTATTTGGTCTGGGTTGAGTAGGTGATTAATTTTGGGAGGGAAGAAGGAAAAAGAAAAAACTCCGACCATTCCTTCTCCAGATGAGAGCAGTTTCATGTTGTACCAGGCAGCTTGAACACAGATGCATCAGAATGAGGATTAAAGTGACACAGACCGAATAAAAATAAAATACTACACCAGACTAAAGCTGAGTTTAAAGGGTCACTTCAACTATGTACCCATGCAGATGTTTTTACTTGACATTTTTAACTCCTGGTTTCTGTTGTTGAACAACATGTGTTCAGGACACTTATCTGAAAGAGTCAGACAGTTCAGGCCGAGCTGGAATAAAGCCAATGTATTTAACTTTGTGTTGAATCAAGCAAAGGTTGATCTATCTAGCACATTTAATTCCAGATGGAGGCACAATGCAGGAGCTACCATGAGCGTAGTGATCCAAGATAAATGTTAGACACAGATTTAAACAAACACACACATTAAAAAGAAGGAATATAATATGATTAAATGAAAATAATAACCCAACTAATAAAATAATAAGACACCTAAAACCAATACAAATAAAATGGTCAACTTGAACCAGCTTACTAGACCACTGAAAGGCTAAAAATAAGTATATATAATTTTGTTTTGGTACAGTCCAGTCAAATAATACTGTTTGTCATCTTCATATTACAGCTACATACAAATTATCATATAATAATGAATAAACTGTTTTCACCATATGGATCCTTGCTTCTCCATTTAAATATGATCTAATCCAGATTAATGCATCTCATGTTTTACTATTACATTTACGTTACAGAGTCAAAACACTTATTCTTGATATTTCCAGAATCTTCAGAGAATCAGTGAATCATGTCGATAAAAGAAATATTCAGTCTGCTGCACAGTAAAAAGTATTTTTAACTCATTTCCCCATGTTGTGCCTACAATAATGAAACCCGGATATAACTCATAATAAAATCCATCTGTAGTTGCGTTTCTGGCTGCCATCCTCTTAGAAACAGTGGCACAACTTGAAAGATGGATGAAAGATCTTTTTTTTTCTCTTTATCCTGCAACAGACTGAATATTTTTCATCCAGACGGTCAGAGGAGTCTCTGGGGATTCTGGGAATACCTTCAGAACAGTGGTGAGCATTGTGAAACAACCTGGGTTTTGCTAAGATCCTTTTATTTTCCCCGAGAAAAACAGATGCTCTGCTCTGAGACTCGAATGTAAAGCCAGAACACGAGAACAAACTATCTTCACATATGGAGCTGACATTCCAATCACTGACGTTCATTGTTATTTACAGATCCTGTGGGGAAACCATGCTCCCGCTGGGCCTTCGTCAGATCGGTGCAGGTGTGGTGTTTTGCCTCAGCGGTGGTTTGGCCACACCTGTACCGTTATACAGTTCTCTGGAGGGAAGTACAGATGAGGAAGACCTTAGTAACTTTGCTTCCTCCCTGCCCACCAGCGTCCTTTTCTACGAACCCCAAACCACACCTGCTGGCCCCACCCATGTGGAAACTGACTTCCTGAGTCAGGTTGTGAGCTTCCTTGAGGAGAACATGCTCCTCATCCTCGTCACAACTTCCTTCATCCTCCTCGTCTTCCTTATCATCTGTGGGGCAATATTCATGAGCCGCAGGCGAAAGGTCAACGCCTACTACCCTTCCTCCTTCCCCTCCAAAATGTACGTCGACCAGAGGGACAAAACCGGAGGTGCAAAACCCTTTAATGATGTTCCAGAGAAACCAGCTCCTGAGCAGGAGAGTGAGCCTGTGGACTCTCACAGGCAGCTCCAGGCCGACATCATGAGGGCCGCCAAGAGGCTACGGACGCCAAATAAATCTGTAGATGCTGCAGAAGGAAGTGGCAGCAGTCAGAAAGCAGCAGACCACAGTCCTGGAGACAGCTCTAAGACATGTGGCAGCGTCCTGGATCAGCAGTTGCCAAGTTTCCCTGAGGAAAAGGAGCCATGCGAGCTCCCCAACATTGAAGAGGCAGCAGCAGCAGGAGGCAGCACTGAGCTGAGCAGTCCTCCAGAGCAGCAACATCCAGAGGGAGTTGATCCAGAGCAGCCCCACGCAGAGGGAGATGATCCAGAGCAGCCTCATCCACAAGATGATCAAGAGCAGCCCCATCAAGAGGGAGATGATCCAGAGCAGCCTCATCCACAAGATGATCAAGAGCAGCCCCATCAAGAGGGAGATGATCCAGAGCAGCCTCATCCACATGAAGACGATCCAGAGCAGCCACATCCAGAGGGAGATGATTCACGGGAGCCTTCGATTGGCAGGAGTCTGCGGCCCTCCTCTCTGCATATTCACAATGACTCTGCAACACTTCAGCTGATCGCAGGAGAGAAAACAGCCTTCTGACTCCTCTGAACACTGTGACCTGACTCTATTCTCTAATCGAATCCACTTTGAATCCACCCGTGGCAATTTGTCTGTCATTCAATATTTTCTTTTTGTCTAGTGAGGGAAAGATGACATGCAGCAGAGCTCGCCAATGACTTGTTTTATCATTATGGTATTTTAAAACATGTTTTTAAAGGCCCAGTGTGTTAGATTTAGGTGAAAGGGAACTGATGTTTTCACTAGTTCGTTTCATCTAAATTGTATGAATTGTAGTTTTCTTTACCACAGAAATGGCCCTTTATATTTAAATACTTTATATTTGCATCAAGGGGACCCTCTTTACGGAGGCCACCATGTTTTTTTCATTAGTCCACACTTGACAAACTTAACACCTTTTGAGTTTTTATGTCAATTAAAGGCTGCCACAGGTTCTTTTTCGTGTTTGGAAGAGGAGGGTGAGGTGAGGTTGATTCAGCTGCAACATGCAATTTCAACACTAGATATCACAAAATTCTACACACTGTACCTTTAAGTCTTTAATATCTGCTGCTCCCCACAACCCTTAAAACAGACAAATGTTATAATAATGGATGACTGGGGGGCCACTTAAGTAAACATGTAGTAGTATGTGGCCTGTTATCTGTACTTCAGTGCATAAACATTATGCAGCTTTTTATCATCGGTTTTTTTATGTTATCACAATAAATTGGGTGGTTTCTCAGCACATTTCCCTTTTTTAATTCTAATCCCATTTTGACAAGCAGTGTTTATAACAAATGCATTAAATTCAGGTGATCCACATCCATAACCATTATATTGTGAATTGTGCATAATGTAAAAAATTAGATACCTGCGTTATTAACATGAAAAACATCTGTTAATATTTAGGATGTTAAAATCATAAATTGCACTCGACGCAAAAGATGTTCAGGATACTTTTATTGCAGATTTTCACAAAAGCATTGCTAGATACTACTAATAAATTGAAAACCTTTTCATAGTTTCTAACCACGTTGCTTGGTTGCATATATTAAAGGTCAAAGCTTAGGGTGCAGACAGGATACATAATCAGCTCTTAGCTTTAATCGATATCTCCATCACACCTTTCAAGACACACTCCTCACGCTCGACAATCTTAAAAAATATCACAATCTCAGAAATAAGGCTCAACTTTGTACCAACCACTCAGAACAGTGCTCACATTGTGCGTTTAGGTGACAGGCTAAAAAGGTAAGAGAGTGCAGGGTTGGTCACAGACTAAGCCTGGTGTAACACTGCTACAGAGGGTTGACAATGGTGTACTTGTTATCAACGTATTTGGTGTGTGCGTGTTTCAGTACTGCAGAAAAGTGAACTACAGCTACTTCTCTTCCTGGCAGCAGGAAGCGAGTGGTGGTCGGTTTAACTGCTGGCCCTGACTGCCTCCTGCTGGTCGTCCTGCTGCTTAACGCGATAGTCTGCCAGAGCAGCCTTGATGGCATCCTCCGCAAGCACTGAAGAGGAACAGGAAATAAAGGTTGAATAATGAAATACATGAGTGGAAAAGTTTGGAAAAGACAACAATCGTTAAAAGAATCCACCGAAGACTTACTGGAGCAGTGAAGTTTAACCGGAGGAAGACTGAGCTCTTTGGCAATGTCAGTGTTCTTTATTGTCAAAGCTTCATCCACCTGAAAAGAAAAACGAAAACCTTTCTGTTTAATAAGCGGAAGAAGAACAACAGAAATGGGAAGCAAGAGTCATGTGTTTTATGTAATCACTCACAGATTTGCCCTTCACCCACTCGGTGGCCAGAGAGCTGGAGGCGATGGCAGAGCCGCAGCCAAAGGTTTTGAACCTGGCATCCACAATCTTCCCCTGGTCATCCACCTCAATCTATCGAAACGAGAGGTTTCATAGTTTTACACAAAAGCCAAAGGAAACTGCATAGTGATAATTTCACTGTGAGCCAAGTAATAACTGTTTTTACCCTAAAAGATTACAGGGGAAACACTATATAGCAATGTTAAACTATTTATCAAAGACTTGAGCCATCTACTTGGTAAAACAAAAATATTTAGCGTATCTGTGCTTTGTTCTCCCACTTTTTTATTTGTTGTTATAATAATCATCCTCTAAAAGCTCTTCATGTACACAAAAGGCTGGGATCCATCCATACATGGTACCTGGAGCTTCATTACATCTCCGCAGGCTGGAGCTCCCACCAAACCCGTCCCAACATTCTTGGAGTTTTTGTCCAGCGAGCCAACGTTTCTCGGGTTCTCATAATGATCGACCACCTTCAAATGAAAGAGAGGAAACATCAGAGTGGGGTTTGGGACATTTTTTTTATTTTTTTTTTACATAACACTGAAATAAATCAGAAGACCCCAGACATCAGCAGCATCCTGGAATGTTTTTCTTTCTATTCTGCCACAATCACAAAATGTCTATAAAACGCTTTTATCACTGTTATACAACTACGCATTTCCTCCATTGTGTAAGTGACACAGAAATAAACAGATTAGGACTGGACGTCATTGTCCACTATACCAACTCCTGCACCCTGGCCCCCTCCCTGAGTTCCTGCTGAGTCACTCTGACCAAGACAACACAATGAGTCTGTATATACTTCATCTAATACTGCAAATTCCATGTGATGTGAGATTTCTGCATGTTTCTCTTTTTGTTCACTTTCAATACTGACTTTCAGCTTTTTATATTTAATGTTATGACATAGGAAACAATTTTATTTTATTAAATCTTTTTATTTTAGAGCTTTTTATTATATTTTTACATCCAAGGAAACACAAACCATCTCTGTTTCTAAATTAACTCAACTTAGATGTTTGTGTGGTTCGGATTCCCACGATCCTGACGGTCACGTAAAACAGTTAAACTAAATGTGAAAGTCGTGTTAGATAGATATATGCTGCGCAAACAAGAATAAATACACAACTCTTCCACAGGTATTACAGAACATTGACACCTTACGCAACGTGCACCTTCACCACACTGACGGCCCTTAAAGCCTTTTAATCGGATGTGATTCAAGTATTAAAGCTGTGGCAGTGGACAGTTGGAGGGCAGATTAGTTACGTTATTTTAGTATTCAACTAGCTAACACAACAAATAATGTTAACTTACTTTATTTATTGTACTGTTTTTCACGAGTCATATTTATTCGTATCTGTCGCACTCTATGATATGAAGCCCATGTGGGAGGAGAATGATGTAATCTTTTTCTAAGGCAGCCATGTTTAAGGTCAAATTTAATTCAATTCAAAACGAATGAATACCATACACAATATCATTTAGGAGCTATAATAACATCATTCAGGAGATCCACATGTTCTCTTAGGCTTTTGAGTGTTTATTAACGTTTTAACCTGTTTTTACATTATCATTGTACTTCTCCTCCTGTCTTTTTTTACACAGCATTTTATTGACTGGTTGTTTGAAACATGCTCTTTGAATAAAGTTGACTTGAGTATTTCACGCTCACACAGTATAGAAGTATGATGGGAAACCAGCTTGAGAGTTATTTAGTATTATTACATCACCCCGCCATGTGTAGCAGTAAAACCTAATGATAACACTGAATCAATCAATGTGAGCTGGACTCATGATACAGACAGGTGGGTGTATGAACACATGTGGTTAACTTTCATTCGTTTGATTCAGAGTAAATGAGATTTAGCTGTAATATCATAATCCTCCTGAGGATTGTTCTGTTTTTGATAAACAACCCTGGTGGCTAAGCTAGCTGGTTGTGGTTAGCTCCATCACAGCAGAGCGTCACTAAACAGGAACTTCTCAGTGGAGGCGTTTGTAAACAAAGGTCAAACAGCAGCTAACACACTCACACACACAGAGACACACACACACAGACACACACAGACACACACTAATAGCACAAACACACACACACTGGGTGTCTGTACCTTCTTGTGGTAGCAGCACTGGGTGAAGAACTCCGGGGCAGAGAGCCTGCGGCTGAGCAGAGCCAGAGGACTGAGACACTTGTTCATCGCGGTGGTCGCCATGTTGGAGCGCAGAGCAGCAATGACGCAGTTTGAAAGAGAAGAGCAGCTCGAGCCCGGTGCGCGTCACTGCCAGGGGGGCGGGGTCACACTGACAACACGTGCGCATGCGCTGTTTATGTAAACAACACTCAGAGTGAACATGATTTTATGACCAGAGTCCAGAATGTGGAAGAAGCTGCGTCAGTGGCATCGTTGAAATCTCTTCTTTAATCGTGCTCTAATAGGAGAGCCTTTCATTCAGTTTTAATATTTGTTTCTGTATCAGGAAAAGATTGTGGTGTGCAATGTTTTTTTCTGAATCGCAGCAGAGTAGAGGTATTAAGCAGTAGCGTTAAGAGGAGTCCGTCTATACTCATTCAAAGTACCTACAATGAGTCCTACATATAAGAAATGAAGGCGTCAGTAATGACAGCACAATAAAATAATGTACATTAAGAAGGTAAAGGGCCCATTTTGCAGAGTTAGTACTATTACATTTTATGCGTAAGTTGTATAAAATTATTACTAAAATATGGTAATGATTTGTACATTCAGATAAAATTGTGAACTTAAAAATGTTGGTTACAATTTTATTATTTTGTACATTGTTGTATCTGAACCTTATAAATGACCTACAATGCAAAAAAATCATAAAACAGAAGTGTCCCATTTAAGAATCTATGTAGGTCGGTACTATTGCATAATTATTACATGGTTCCCCAAATATCATATGATTTTTTTGGGGAACTCTAAAGAAATGCTTACTGAGGCTATAAAGTTCATTGACGTACAACACGATTTCAGTACCCGCGGTTAAACACACAATAGGAACAATTATGGGTAATTCATACATATTGAATTAGACAGAGTAAGTTTTTTCTTTACAAATGATTAATTTGGTTTTAAAAGCAATTATGTTATGTGAGTTTAAATGGGGACTATACAGACCCTTAGTTAATGAATCTTTGTCATTTTGTGTTACTGTGTGAAGGGGATCCCCTTGTGAGATTACATCAGTGGGCTGTTGTAAGACTCTAAAAAGCTTCATAAAACAATTTTATGTTTATTTTATCCCCTTTTTATAAACCCTCTTAAACTTGTTAAAATGGTGTCACCATCAAACAAAAAAATGTTTCCAGTGATGAGTGCCCGTCAGACTCTTGCTGTTACGTTATAATTCCTGATTTATTTCCTCTTTTTTCTCTCAGTGAATCTGTTCAGGAAACTGAAGAGAGAAGTTGCATCTTGCCACTGTGTGTTTCAGTAAGAAGGCACCAGAACAGTGATCGCTTCCTCACTGAGACTAACGTGAGTATTTATTATCTGTTTCATAGGATAAACTAAAAGTATTTCTTTGTGCTAAAATTGTGAAACTGCTATAATTATCTATGTGTATATGGAAAAAAGACTCAGTCTGTCCTTAATATTACAGGAAAACAAGCATGGATGTGGATTATAAAGAATATGAAGATTACACACCAGACAATGAAACTGAGGACATCAGCACCACCACAGCTGAATTCCTGAATTTCAGCCGCTCTCATTCTTCGTTGACATATGTGCTAGTGGTATTCAATATCCTTATAACAGTTATTGGCCTCATAGGAAATTCAGTCGTGATCTGGATCTGTGGATGGAAAATGAAAAGAACGGTCATCACCACCTGGTACATCAGTCTGGCTATTTCAAATTTTATGTTCTGTGCAATTCTGCCCCTGGAGGTTTTCTACAGGATAACATCACACTGGCCTTTCGGACTGCTCTTGTGCAAGTTCACCTCCTCCGCCCTGTTTCTCAACATGTACAGCAGTGTGTTTCTACTGGTTCTGATCAGCACTGATCGCTGCGTAATGATTCTATTCCCCATTTGGTCTCATAACCACCGGACAGTGAGGAAAGCACTTTTGGTTGTTGTGCTCACTTGGGTCCTTTCTGCACTCCTAACGTTGCCCTCACTGATCTTCAGACAAACTATAGTCCATGGCTCAGTCACTCAGTGCTACACAGGCTACGTGGCCCACTCCAGACACAAGGCAGTTGCCCTGACTCGATTCATCATCGGGTTCCTGATTCCGTTCGTGATGATTGTCGTCTGCTGCTCCGTACTCGGTGTGAAGCTCCAAACTTTGACCGTCAAGTCAACAAAGCCGTACAAAGTCATGGTGGCGCTCATCTTGTCGTTTTTCTTCTGCTGGGTCCCCTACCACACCTTTGTTCTTCTGGAGTTGGACGTCAAGAACTACAGCCTGGAGGGTATTCAAACTGGACTGAAGGTGGGAGCCACGCTGGCCGCAGCAAACTGCCTCATATCCCCGGCTCTGTACATCTTCGTTGGTAACGACTTTAAACAAACCCTCAAGAGGTCTTTGACATCAAGGATAGAGGAGGCAATGGCGGAGGATTTTCGTACAGTGGGTCTCAATCATTCAAGGTCTAAGTCAATGGAAGTGATCAAAAGCTAGATGGCACTGTGCAGAGCGTATTCCTCCGCCAAGGCCTAATATTCTGGATCCAGATATTTACTGGATCTGCACCAAATTCGACAAACTCATAGATATCAGTCCCCAATTTATGCCTTATTCTGTCAGATGATTGGCTATTGATTTGTTCAAGACATTCATTTTGTCTTTCAACTTTTTAAAGAAAATCTTCACATTCAGATGTTTTTTTTTTCTAAGATTTTTTTATGTCTACGACTGAATTTCTTTTGTTTCATTATGTTTGCAAACCAGCTTCAAATTGCTAGTGTATTAAAGTGGAATACACAAGAATTGAATATAATGAATATGCATTATCAATATAATATATAAGAATTGAATGAAAAACAAATGTCTTTATTTTTAATCTTATTAGGAATTGATGCATATTTGAAAGTAAACAGGGAACGTATCTTTCTAATCTATTCATTCCAAATATAACCATATGCCAGTATTGTGTGTATTTATGTCCAGTAAAGTAAATACAAATGTCTATATACATTTTGTATTGTGTTCCATCACCACTGACGAGCAGACTTCACTAACTTCACAAAGCCTTGAACTACAGCCAGGTGCATCACTTTTTTGGGTCTCCTGGACACATTTCAGTAGTTTGCAGGGCGTTTCTGTATTTGCATGTGTTGTGACTTTTTGCACGGCACGTGTCATCAAATCCATGAAGTCGTTTTCTATTTGCATGTGTTTTCTTAATTTGCAGTGCTTCCTTTTTCCTGTAGTGAGAAGCTGTTTTCTGCAGTTAGATTGTGAGCAACTGTAAAATAAACCCTGCATCAAAACCAGGCGCTCTCAGGGGCCCCTTCTCAAATTGGGGCCCCTCCATGGCAACTGTGCTGTTGCAACGCCTCTGCTCTTTGCAAAAGGAACATAGAAATGAAACACTGGGTGTAACCCAAAGACCAGGGGTCACCAACACAGTGCCCGCGGGCACCAGGAAGCCCCCCAAGGACCACATGAGTCGCCCGCAGGCCTGTTCTAAAAACAAGACAACTCACCAGCGAGCTGCGTCTCAAATTTGATACACGTTTCTAATTCAATTTAAATATTTATTTTTTATACTGTAAAATTTGTATTCTCATATTGAAGTTGACTATTGACTATGATTTGTTAAAAGGGTTTGTCAGTGGCTAGTGTAAATGGGACATTAATATAGATTAATAGAAATGAAGTGTTGAATATTGATATTATCTGTTTCCCACCTTGTTAAGTCATTGTTGATAATTATTGTGAGAAATCATTAACATGATCAGTGTCTTCACAGCACATCAGTATCATTTATCATTAATAATAATATATAACTAAAGGCAAACTGAGCAAATTGGTTATTTCAGAAGAGTGTATCAAACTGGTAGCCCTTCGAATGACTCATGGAGTAGCTCTCAGTTTAAAAAAGGTTGGTGACTCTGAGGTGCAAACTTATGAATGGGATTATTGCGTGGTTAATGACTGCAGGTTTACACTCACTCAGGTGCTCTGTGAGCCTCCTGACAGACAACACTGAGGGCAGCAGCAGCATACCAGCCCCCCCTTCTCTGGATCTACTGCCGGGTCTGTAGCGGATGTGTGATGCAATCAGCTGTAAGCGACCCACCACAACTCCTCACAAGTCACGGGTCATTCCGTGGACCCACCGCTCGGCTCACACCGCCCCTGTGTGTGTTTATCTCCGCTGTGTATCCGGTTAAACCATCGGTTCGCTCCGCTAGCTAACGTTAGCCGCTGCGTAGCTAAAGCTAGCTCCCTGTTACCTGCGGGACCTCTCCGCCTGTAGGAACACTAACCTCAGCCTGGACCTCCGTATGTGTGTGTTGTGAAGCGCTGGGTGCCACCGGCGGAGTCACTCCACCCGAACTTGCCTGTTTTGAGAGGATTTCGGTTTTAAATGGCCACCGCTGCCCCCGTTCCACCTCCTCCTACGGCCTCCGGCCCTTCCACCGCGGCCACCGACAACCCGAGCCCCGGGTCCAGCGGCTCCAGCGCGGGGGCCGACAGCGGCAACCAGGACAGCACCTTCGAGTGTAACATATGTCTGGACACCGCCAAGGATGCAGTGATCAGCCTGTGTGGACACCTCTTCTGGTATGATAGTGGCTGCGGGGGGATAAGTGGAGCTTTTTTCACCCGCCTCCTCAGTGTTTGTCCGGGTAATGAGGCCACAGACAGAGTCCAGACCTCCAGACTCACTGAGACTGTTGTTAAAGCTAATCTTCATCATGTTACTGAACAATAGGCAAACCAGTTTATTGGCATACATCATGCTGGCCAGTGTCAACAACAGCCATCACGAGTTGTTCACTTTGAAATGACTTTGTTATCTCACACTTTAAAACACGTGAAGACATCAGCACTTATTCAGATTGAACTAAGTTGTCCTGGGTTGTGTTTAAAGATCACCAGGCAGGTCTGAAAAACACCAACACCCACCACATGGGTGGACAAATATCACACTCTGTTGTTATATCATCTCTGATCCTAAAACATTATTATAAACTTTATTAGTCATTACAGAAATTGTATTATTTCCCCTCCACTTGTAATGGTAACACTTGGATTTTAGGAAAACGTATTATTTCTGGTTAACTGTTTAAAGGTGAGATAGGTAGATAGTTAGTTTGTTTGGTAAATTATTGATCCTCGGGGCAATTGAGGCTTCCGGTAGCACACGGAACAGTCAAACACAAGAGCATAAGAATAATAAAAGGTCAAAATGATTGAAGGATAAGTTCACTTCAGTGAGAGGAAAGTGTAAAGAAGAATGTGCTAATGGGGATATTGACCATACAAATATTTTAAGTGTAAGGTGATAGGAAGACACTGACTGTGGTCTATAAATACAACTGTCAGTGTAATGTGTTGGATTTTTTTATTTTGGTCACTTTCATGGAAACTTTACAGCCTCTGCAGCTTGGTGCACCTCTTCAAATATACTCTGACCAACTTTTGTCCGCTGGGAACAAGTCACGTCTCGAGCATCTGGTCTGTTATAAGTGGTGACAGTATTTATTTAGTTAATCATTTAGAAACAGTAGATAAAGCCCAGTGCAAGAAGCCTGGTTTCTTTTCTCTCACCTCTCATCTATAGATGCCATTTTATTAGCAAATGTATATTTTGCAAAGTCAGTGTTTCACTAATCACGTCTTCCCTTTCCAACCCCTGTTGCATTTCCTCTCAATCAGTTGGCCGTGTTTGCATCAGGTATGTCAAAACTTTTGGTTTTATTTCCTTTTCCTCATTTTGCAAATGCAAATGAGAGGGTGGTGCTTCATCGCGTCTTTGTCTTTTATGCAGTGGTTGGAGACCAGACCCAGTAAACAAGTGTGTCCGGTGTGTAAAGCTGGCATCAGTAGAGACAAAGTAATCCCCTTATATGGACGGGGAAGCACAGGTCAACAGGACCCCAGGTTGGTATTTTTGTGTTACAGGCCAGACTGACTCCAAACTTCATGAATTGAGTCATCACAATCATCCTCCTCATAGTCCTGCAATGATAGACATGCTCACGATGGTGTTTTTTTGTTTTATAGAGAAAGAACACCCCCTCGACCACAAGGGCAAAGGCCTGAACCAGAAAACCGTGGTGTAAGTACTCTGCAAAAATACAAATTATTATTTCTTTTATGTTTTCTTGATTTCAACGATGTGAGGCAGCTTTGTGTATTCTCTCAGTGAAACGTCAACAGTCAAGCAATCTCATGCACTCATGATGAAATCATTACATAGAATGATGCAGGTGCTGTGGTGCAGCCCTGTGCTTTATTCATTAACTAAAGGACCTTTCCCACTGGGATCCATTAAACACACTGTGTTGAGTTGCAGCTTCAACTCTTGAGAATTAACACAAGTTGTCCTGCCTGTTGCGTCACATCTGACAAACTATACAATAAACTCTGCGTCACATGTGGTGAATACACGACTATGCAACACACATTTTCCTGTTTTGCAGGGATTTCAAGGGTTTGGTTTTGGAGATGGGGGTTTCCAGATGTCATTTGGAATCGGTGCCTTTCCATTTGGTATTTTCGCTACAGCGTTTAACATCAATGACGGGAGACCTCCTCCAGGTATTTCTGCTTTACACACGTCACTTTCACCATGCTGTACCTTTCAACATATCAAATAACTGTCAAACTAATTCCCCATCAAACAGCGGCACCCGGGACGCCACAGCACATGGACGAACAGTTTCTGTCTCGACTCTTCCTGTTTGTGGCTCTGGTGATTATGTTTTGGCTGCTGATTGCATGAATGTGCAAGAAAACAACGTGCGGGGTTCAGCCAAGAGATCTGACAGGGTTGAGACAGGAAGGCACATCATCGTGGTTATCTGCCTCCATGCATGTTTTTCTTCCTTGATGATTCTTTTTTTCTCTCAACAAGCCATGTGAGATTAGAACAAAACAGTTTTTTTTGAAAATAAATGTATGAGTGCTAATCTAAGAATAACAACTTGATGGTGAACCATGTAACATTGGTTGCCTTTGACATCAGGGGTTTTCACACCGGACATTTGGAACGTGTCTTAGTAGGAAAAGTACATGACTGGTAATGTTTACCATGTTGTTGCTATGTCACAATTCAGGTGTTGCAAACTTTAGAGGCTCCATTAGAAAACCAATTGCATCACAACAGCACAACTAGGCCATTTATTTCGAAGGCTCCTTCTAATGCGTCTTTCCAATCCTGAGCAACGAAGAATCCAATCAGTGGATCCTTCTCGGGCCTAAATATCCCAGGATTTATTGAGATGAAGCAAACAAGTTAACTATGTGGGCGGAAGCTGGTGACACAATTAGGAAATCCTGCATAGATCATACCTCTGCCTCTGAGGACCACTGGGGTCTCCGGAGGCCATGCTGAAGGACACAGCCTCTTTAAACCCTGACAGCGTGATGGTTAATATAATGTGCTTTTCCTACTCGAACATGTCAAAATGTTTCCAACAAACAGACGCCTTTTAATTAAACACTGAATACGAGCCTGTACATCCTCAGCGTCATCACTCTGTTCACTAATGTACTAAGAGTGTTCTTTATTTACTCTAATACTACCTGATCTTACAAATTACACATCTTTTCGTTAAAATTTACAGAAATCGGTCACATGCTTGTGAATCAAAAACGATGTCGGTCATCGTCTTTTCATTTTAAAACTACAATGATGCAGTTGAAAGATTAAACTATGAAACAGTATTTATCTCCAAATTGTAACATATTTTATTTTGCTCAGTTTATTGTATGTCTTTGTAAGTAAATGTTAAATACTGTACTACAGAGTAGAGAGAACTTGGAGGCTGGTCTGATCACATGAAATCTTTACTCTTAATCTGAATTCACACTATGACAGTAAAAGCTAATGTGAATAAAGATGTTAATCAGGCTCTTTTTTTCCTATGAAGGTTTCATTCTCACATAAGCCTTACCTGCTCAGTTAATATGCAAATGAAGACACACCAGACAGACGTGGTGTGGAAAATGGAAATACTCTGTTGAGAAGTAGAATGTTTTTCTTCAGTCTTAATTATTTTACATGAAAAAAGATGTTTCTTTAACTAAACCACTTTATGCTGTAACAAAAGAAAAAAATCAATATTTTGGTCATTCTGTGGAAGAGGTTTATAGAAAACAGAATAAAGTACAAAAATAGTCTGTTTGGTTCAGTCTTGTGCTTCTTGCTCTGTTTGTTTCTCTTGGGATTCTGCCTGTGTGACGTTAAACTCGGCTTCATACATAATCTGCTGGATCTTTATTTTTGTCTCGCACCTTTTCTGTGGAGCGAGTCGCTTAAGAGCAGGAACAAAGCTCAGCAGGAATAGTTCATCCTCATCCCGTGGCCTGGTGGGAAATGAGGCACCATTGTCTTTGACCAGCCATTTTGTCGGGGACTGTATACTTTGAGAGGAAGGCGGCAAAAGTGACTCTTGAATCAGACGCCGCTTCCGCCCGGTTTTGCTAATGGGTGCGATCGGAGAGCTTGAAGGCAGCTTGGCCATAACAGCCAGCTGGGCCATCTGAGTGTCCTGGGACATTGAAGGAACCTGCGTCACAAACGCCACTTGGGGCTTGAGTTCAGGTTGACTCACAGGGGCCTTCATGATGGACTGCGGCGCCTTGACCGCCTCAGACGACGTGGTTTCTCCCTCCATGCTGCCAGATTCGTTGTCAGGGTTGTCCTGTTCGTCATCTTCGTTGCCGCAGATGTCTGCCACGCCGCTTCTCGACCCAGTGAAGGGTGCAATAAAATTCATCAGTTGTCTGTATTTCCACCTGCTCTGCACGATCTCCCCTTGCTTCTTGCTTTTGATCTCCATTCGGACCTCCTTCAAGTAGCGGTCTCTCATGTTCTTCCATTTTCTTTTGCACTCCTCAGCTGGAAAGAGAAATTTCAGAGTGTAAATCAAATGATTCTCCTGAGGACGATATAAACAAAGTAACCTGGACACTGATGTTTTAATTATGACTGATTATGATGTTCATTATTGATCATAGAATGGTGTGTGAGGTATGATGTAAGGTCAGATTTGGATCAGGGGGCTAGATCCATTTCACCCTCTGTGACAATGCAAGTTGTTTTTCAACATTTTCGTTATTCGTGGACCTTGACAAATAAAACCAGGCATATTTATCTGAATTTAATTTATATGTAGTCTCATAAGAGGACTGTTAGGCCCTGACGCCTTATAACTGTTTAATATTGGTTTATTTTTTGTATTTCTTTACTTGTAAAATGCATTATAACTGTGTTTTGAAAGGTGATCTGGTTTTACACAGAGAATAACTCGCTCATTGAGTTGAAGTTGATGTGACCCTGTGCACCATGTGTGGGTCTCTGACACTGACATGTTGAACCAGAGACACCGCGGAGCTGCCGCTGCCACGACACATCCAGACGCTTTTCACTTTGTCTTCGCCTGACGATCGACACGCGGCTCGGTGCGGCGGGTCTGCGGTGCCTTCCTCCTGCGGAGAGCCTTGCAGCACACGCGGCGCAGCGGAGCCGTGCTGTGCCGTGCAGCGCAGCGCAGCGCGGCCTAGGCGAGCGAGCAGCGGCGGCTGCTGCTGCTGCTACCGCTAGCACGGCGGGTGCGCGCGGCTGCGGCCACAGCACCGTGCTGCACTCGCGCGGAGCTAAAACAACAAAAACGGCCACCAGCCGGAAGCAACACGTGAAACACACACGTGTGCTGAACACGCGTGTGTGTTCCCTCGCTCCTCTCCCCTGCGCTCCACGCTGACGTCGCCTCCGCGGATAATAAGTGTGAGTAAAGTTGGGGCACAAACAAACATACTCACACGGGAGACCCAGTAAGATGCTGATGTTCCTCCAGGCGTGTGCGCGGCTCTCTGTGCAGCGGTAGTTGGGTAAAGTCACGTTGTAAAGCTCCGGGTAATTAAAAACGGCCAATATTAACTTATCGTCCATTTTGCGCCTCCACTGCTCGGTGTGTGCGGGGCTGCGCGGACGCGGAAGCGGCAGCCTTCTCCCGCCTTTTCCGCTCAGCTGCTGCTCGACGCAACGCGAGATGACGCGGGTGGCGGACGGTGCCGCGCCGTGTCGCTCCGCCGTTCGACTGGACCCGGCCGCCAGGGGGCGCACCACCGCACACAGGCCTCCATCACTCTTAGTTTCACTGTGAGAGAAGAAAAGACTTAAACCCACATCTGTATGATTTATGATTAGACCACAGAGATGGAGGCTATCTCTCAAACCCAACAGTGAAAAGTGTTTGTGGTTCTTTGACCCTTTAGATCACTGGTTCCCAAACTAGAGGCTGGGACCCTCTGTGGGGTCTCCAAACGCACACGGAGGGTCCCAAGATGAGGGACATGGGAAATGAAATAAAACTCAAAAGCCATTCATGATCATTTATTTTATGCATAAAAGCTGAAATAAATTTGTTTTACTTAAAATAATTACAGTAAAACCAAGCAAGTAATCATCAGCCTTTCCATCTTTGTTTCGTTGTGGCCTCTCGGGGGATGACGACAGATTAGCGACAGCATCGGTTGCATCTCCACAGGAAACATTATGTGCACATAGGTGATTGTTTTGTAAACTATATTTCAAATCTATAACATTTGTAATAAAAAAGACAATTGCAAAATAGTTTTTCATACTTTCTTTAATTTTTTCCATTATTTGTTGTATACAGTTCTATTTCTAAATAGGAAAATCCGTAGTTTGAGTCATGCTAGAATCCTAAAATAGTTCCCGCAGATAAAATCCTGAACTGTCAAATAGTTTGTCATGGTTGTGATGGAATTCAACTAATTTAACAAGAGTAGGCACCTAACTTCCTCTGCCGGTTCATATTCTAGATCCTCAAGTGGTTAAAGGGCCAAGAACTGACCCCTTATGATTGCAATGCAGTCAGTGTAAAATACTGTTCTTACTTACAAATGGATTCAAATAGATTAAAGGGAAGATTTAAACAATCTGGTTGTATGTAATATAAATGACTGATATGTATATTTAACTGACACAGATGCTGCTTACTAAATGAATGTGGGATGTGGAAAAGTGCAGTGAGAACACAGTGGCACATGGGAGCAATTTGTCTTCCTGTGTAGTTCAGTGGCGGTAACGTAAACCTGCTTAAATAACAAAACATATGGTCCCAGTGAGTTCCAACAGTCTGCCGGGTGATGTTGAAGCCAGACAGACTGAACTCCAGGTCCCAGAGCTCATTTTCAGATTTCACGGAAACGATTTGAGAAAAAAAAGGGGGGGGGGGTAGAGAAATATAATATTCGTATTTACACAGGTATCTTTCTGTATAGTTTCTGCAATCACAGAGTGGCGTTCTTCCTCTCCAGCCCCCAGAGGATTGTTATCTGACGTGTGTTTTCTTAAGCTATCGCAGTCACTTGTGTTTTCCCTGCACAAGAAAACACAGAGGAAGGTTGATCCTCTGCATTTCCTGGTCTCACAGCTGCAATCTCCAATTCCCCAGGAGGTTTTCGGCCCCGGTCCAGCGGTAAGCAGAGACACTGAGCTTTTTCACACGTGAATGCTCTCATGTCATGTTGGGTTCTCTGCTCATTTACCAACAGTCAGTGTGTGGGTGTATTTTGTAATCCTGTGTCTCCTGTCGGAATTGAACCGATTTGATTTGTGTCCTTTATTGTTCATGTTTTCATTTTTCCTCCCGCTGACCTGCAATTTGAGCAGCCACTGGATATGTCTGTGTCCCAACGTGACACGTTAGTCACTGATAATTACGCTGAAAAGAACCTCACACATCACACATTCCAACTCTCCCCTGATAAACGTGTTATTTTCCAGAAAAAACTTCTCTCCAAAATGTGCATTTTAACAGGATATGACAGGAAATTGATTTAAATGTATTTTTCAGCCTTGGGCTTGTGTGGATCAATCTTTTTTGTCAGTATATCTGATTAGTGTTAGGCCAAATATTGCATATACATGTATTGCATCAGATACATATAGCATGTACACAGAAATGTTCTGCAAAACATCCTTCGGACATGACACACCCTTCCATGAAATTTCATGGAAGTTGGTGTTGTAATTTTTGTGCAATCCTGCTAACAAACAAACTAACAGACAAAACATAACCACCTTCGAGGTAATAAGATTCAGGCTTCAGGTGTTATTGAGGATATAAGAGGAATCATTTCCTGAGCCCCACCAATAATGTTTACTCCTGTTTCACTGTTAATAATGTTTGCAAGTAAAAACTCCTTTAAATGGAAGAGAATCAAAAGTCTAGAAAACTGTATGAACCCTCATGTGCAGGAGGTTTCCCTCACTTTACTTCTTGTACCACATATTTCTCTTTACAACAACAAAATGAACCTTTATCAATCTAATCCCCAGTAATGAAATTTGAGCTGTTTGAACCAGTGCGGATGTGCTACAATTCCTTCTTTTGAGAGCCACAATAACTGCAGATAGCGATCTCCCATGCTCCTCAAACTATATGTCAACAATCTGGATGCTATTAAACCCGGGTGAAAAGGATGGGATGGTGTTTATTGTTATCTGTTTTTCAAAAGCCTTTATAAGCGGAGCTTAAGACAGATTGTGGAAACCCATTAATTCGTATATTGCCTTGTATGAAATCACAGGATTTGTTGGGGGGGGGTGAATTTAACCTGTAATAGCTTTACCTCAGCTGTGCACATTGTCAGAGGAGTCAGACTGAAAAGACTGCACCGCACAGATAATACACATGATGCATAATCTTGAATAGGAACCCCTATTTGTGCTTATCTGTATTGAGTAATATTGTACATACAAATCTATTAGTGACACCACAAATATCTCTATCGCACTAACAATACAAGGAATTCCTTCATCTGCTTCGCTTTATTTAATGGGTGTGATCAGCAAGCATTGCCGTTGTCCGTGTATCATTACTCGTCTTATTTACCGACCATATCTACTAATTTGCACAAGATCATTTGGTGATAAAGCTAAATGGGAAAGTGACATCATGAAATAAATTTAGGGAGCTAATCCTCAAGTTCAGCATGCACAAGTCTCTGGCCACACCAAAAAAAAAAAAACGTTCATCTCTAAATCCTGGTTTCTAATACCGAGCAATCCCCTTTTCTCTAAAACCCCAACAATAAGGATCTTAGGAGCTCTCAACTTCTCATTTTATGCAGTGAAATCTGATTTCTTTTGGAGAAAGGAATGAGGCAAGATTAACTGAATCTGCCGTCCTCCCTAACCTCTTCACAAAACTGCCCAGATTAGCTAGGAATTAAGTTTCAACCGTTTTATGTGTCTGGTCCACAGGGGGATTATAGTTTTACTATTTTTTTTTTTTGCCTCCCAATTTTACTATAAGGGCCTGACACAGTGTTGTAGAAAGAGGAGAAGGAGAAGAGCAGCCGAGCCTGAACAGTCAAAAAGTGCTGTGTGTCAATGTACTGTGATTATCATTGCTTTTGTTTTATTGGACTCTCTATGAGAGATGGATGGAGTGATGAGGATGGAGAGACAAAAGTTTCCTTTCACTATAGAAAACATATTGACCAAATATCCGGACAGTAATGGTGACAGGTGGACGTGTGGGACGAGTGGTGCTGCGGTGAAAGAGAAGACAGTGAGTCCTGCTGGGGACCAGACAGAGACTGTTGTTCATCACGCCTGTGTGTGCTGCTGCTACTGCTCCCACTGTGGAGACATACTCAGAGCTGATTTCATCCATGAAGGTAAGACTAAGCCATCCCCTCTGTTTAAGCACGTTTTAAAAAGCTGGATTTGTGTTCTGAATGACTGACTCTCCTCCCTAACCTCAAATCAGATTTCCTCCCTGCCACCTGTCAGTATGGATGGCCCCCGGCGATGCTCTCCAACCCCTGCAGGCTGGGAGAGGCTCTTAGAGAGGAGCAGCTGCCCGGTCAGGTGCACAGGAGGACCAGACGTCACCGCACGATTTTCACCGAGGATCAGCTGGATGCTCTGGAGGAGCTGTTCCTGCAGAACCAGTATCCAGACGTGAACACGAGGGAGAAATTAGCACAGCACACTCACTTAAGAGAAGAAAGAGTAGAGGTGAGTCTGTTGTATTTCAGTGAATAATGCAGGGTTTAATGTCTGCGTTGATAAACTTGTGTTTGATAATGGTTTCTAATGTAGATCTACGTATTTAAAAGTGAGTAAAAAAGTTGCCAGATATTGTGAGTACAGTAAATGTCACTGAAATAATGAAATTACCACTAACTAACTTTTCTGGCAGGTTTGGTTTAAAAACCGAAGAGCAAAGTGGAGGCGTCAGAAAAGACTATCGTTTGCTGTGGGAAATACAGAAAACTAAACTTTGTACTGTATATATGGATGACGGCACTGAAAAAGAAGAGAGTTATATTTGTGTACGTGTGTCAGTGGTTGAGGGAATACATTTTATTGTTATCAGTTAACAAACAGGCAGACTAAATCTTTTTTTCCACCAGAAAATAAATAAACATGGAGATTTCTGTGACTAATTATGTGACTTTATCCTCTGCAGTTTTGTAGCCTATTCTTGAAGCTGGTTGGTTGAGCACATGATAGAAGCACTGGTCGCATAAACGTCTTTTAAATCCTGGAAGACAAGTTTTAATTTTGTAAATTGATTGTTCTAGTTTGCACCAGTTGTGAAAAAAGTGCCTTTAATAACAAATAAAGTTCTTTTGAAAGAGCTGAAAGAATCAGGTTTTTTTTCCACAACCACATCATGACAAATATAATCTAAATATTCCTACTTTTTTAGGTTTAGGTTTATGTTTCAGAGAGAAACAAAGAAAAGTTTTCATCCGACAGATCTCCACATCTGTTAGGCTTGCTTTCATATCTGTTTCTGCTTTCGCATAAACTCTTCTAGTTTTTAAAACCAGAACCCCAGGAGCACAGGCAATATTTAGTGGGGATACAGGATAATACCAGGAGTTAGGTATTAGTATATGTATAAATATGTATATAAATATATTCTGCAAGTGAGTAGATAACAGCGTTGGATTGAAGCCCTTTTGTTTGAAGAGTCTATCCTGCAAACTACCTTTATTTCATATTAGATGATGGTGATCAGTAAGGATGAGTAGCATTGATAAATTCTTTGTTGTTAAAAGAAGAATCCTAATAAGGAGCTTTTAAATTCAATATGATATATGTTATTAATATAATCTTAAATGTGTAAGTGTATTTATTTGGTTGACTTGGTTTTGTAACATTATTTTGTCAAGTAAGTAGATCTTGCTGAGAACATTGATCTACGTTCTATAAACAAGTATTGATTACAAAGATCAAAGTTATAATAGACAAGCATACTGTGATTTTTGTCTATTATTCCAAAGTAAGTATTCCCAATATCAATGAATAGTAGAACTAAATGCAATCAAATTTAAATAGTTAAAATAATTGTATTCAATAATTAAATTCAATAATAATAAAAGTTAAAAAAAAAAAAAAGATTCCTGAAAATATACTATAAGGCTAAACTTCCGGTGACGTCACCTCGCGAGGTACGGAACTACGTCGGTCAGACGCTGTCGCTCTGTTGTGGCTAATGATCGATGCTAATAATACGAAGCTAACGCATCGCAGTTGTTCGCAGCTTTTTAAGACGTCTGGATTCTCGCGGTGCCCTTCACGCTTGTACGCGGTGTTTTTGAGGTAGAAAAGCCGCATTGCGTTTCCGTCCGGTCGGTGTTTGTCGGTTACCGATTTGCCCGTTAGCCGTTAGCCTGTGAGGCTAGAAGGGCTCCACGATGGAGGGCAGCGCCAGCGTGAGGAGAGCCCTGTCCGGGACTCTCGTCCCCGCGGCGGTGACAACAATGGCTCTCCGGCCGCAGCCCGAAGAGAAAGGGACGGGGAAGCCGAACAGGAAGGTCCTCGACGAAGAGCAGTACATCGAGGTAATGAGATGACAGACAACCGTGCGTGGTAGTTACAGTGTTTAACTTGTTATCAGACAAAACAACTGAGTCATCGAGGTGAGAGACAGACAAGACACTGGTTAAAGTTGAGCTTCGTGTCTGTTGTGATAAAGGATTCAGTTTTGTGCATCTGGAGTGGTTTTTAACTTCGACACTGATATAGTGGTCTTTAAATCAACTTGTTGTTAAACATGTCAGTGAAGGTTCGACTCAGGAAAGATCTGAGTTTGACAACTGTGAAATTACGATTCGACTAAATGAAGAGTTTTGTCCATAAATGATATTGGGTTACAAATATCCTTAATTCTGCTCTGCCACATGGAGACACGAGGCTGTGCTTGAAACAAATCATTTAACCAAAAGACAGAAAAATAAATGGCAACAATATTGATAATCTTGTAATAAATGAATTTGTAAATAAGCCACAGGTCCTCAAGTAACAGCCTCTCATACACAATGAATTTAATTATGAATGTCAAGTCCTACCTGTGTACTTCCAACAGAGTTTGGAGAAGATCATCCAGAGGGATTTCTTCCCAGATGTAACAAAATTGCAAGCGCAGAAGGACTATCTGGACGCAGAGGAAAACGGAGACCTGGGGAGAATGAGGGAGATATCCATCCGATATGGATCATCTCTGACTAAATCCACACCGCGATCTTCGGCCCCTTGTGAGTATTTTGATTTAATTTGCTTTAAATAGTTGATTTCACAAGGTAGTTGCACTAGACCAGATTTTGCCATGAATGTAATTTTCAACTATGATTTATTTTGTGTGTCAGATGTGACCCCGGCTAGCTTCGAGACACCAGTTGGTCACCCAGGGTCTCCCTCCTCCATTCGTGGCAATAAAGGTTTAGATGCCGGTGAGTATTTAATTTTTTAATTTGAAGAACACGTTTTGTTAATAATTCCACAGGCTGTATATTACCCTCTTCCTCATTTCATCCCATGGACAGACGCATTTGGCAGCAATACTGAAACAAATTCACGTACAGAAGTTTAATGGTAATTAAACTGTACTTTACTATTAATGTTTTATTTACAGATGGCAAAGATGATGACAAGGAAGAAAAAGAGCTTCCACCACTGGACCATTTCCTGGCTAAAAATACCAGTGAGGACAATGCATCATTTGAACAGATAATGGATCTGGCAAAAGACAAGGAGAAAGTGAAGCATGCCTGGTTATATGAGGCTGAGGCTGAATACAAACAGGTACGCATGTGCAGATTAGGTTTTACTTAATTTCAAAGCAAATGAAAAACAGGTGTTCTGATCACACATTATTTTAGTGACGTTGTAGAACTATTTATGATTGAATAGCTCATTACAGAAATACTTTTTATGTGTTGGGTATTTTAAAATAATCTCCAACTGTGGGCTTGCATTTAGTGGGTAGGCAGTAGTTTATAGTGGCAGGTGAATGCTAGCTGACTACAGTGAAAACATTAATAAACAATGAATATGTTTCAGCGCCACGAGGAGAACCTTGCTTTACCGTCAGTGGAGAAAGCAGCACTTGAATGTGTCAAAGCTGGACTGGAAACATGGGAGTACAAAGCTAAGAATGCCTTGATGTATTATCCAGAGGGTAAGAGTTTCTAAAACATCAACGGCACAAATGATGATTAAACATCTCAGAGAGAAAATAATTAATATAATGTGTTTTTTCTTATTCAGGAGTTAAAGATGACGATGCTGTGTTTAAAAAACCAAGAGAGGTTGTTCACAAGAATACGCGTTTCGTTGGAGACCCATTCAGCAAAGCTCTCAACAAAAGCCAGATTCAACAGGCTGCGGCTCTGAATGCACAGGTAAGTTTTAGGAATATGGTTCATGAAATAAAGGATGATGTTGCATTGAGTTTATATACCTCAGTATAATCCCTGAAGGATGCAGCTAATATGTCATGTTACTTTGTCCAGTTCAAGCAGGGTAAAGTTGGTCCTGATGGGAAAGAGCTCATCCCACATGAGTCCCCAAACGTGAATGGATATGGTTTTGAGAGAACGCCTTCCCCTGCACCTGGTAAGTGCATCTTCTGATCCTTCTCCACCTGGAACTAAATGTTGCAATAAATTATTCAAGAGCTCTGCCAACATTCTGTTGTTTTGTCCGTTTTTTTCAGGTGTATCTGACTCCCCTCTGATGACCTGGGGTGAGATCGAGAGTACACCCTTTCGTCTAGATGGATCAGACTCACCATATGTTGAGAGGAATCATGGTCCGTCATTTAAGGTACTCAGCACTTTCGATTTTTTACTAGCGCTGGCATCGGACCCGCTGCCCAGACCAGCCTCCAAAAGAAATTACTGAGAAGCTTGGATTGCAACACACACAGTGGGAGTGTGACTTAATCTCTGCTCAGGACACCATTACTCCAACATATCCTTACATGGGAATGCGTTGTAGGCTCCTTCAATAATGTTTAACCTTTTAATATTGTCTCTATAGATTCCAGAACCTGGGCGGCGAGAGAGGCTGGGTTTAAAGATGGCGAATGAAGCTGCTGCTAAAAACCGTGCCAAAAAAAAGGAGGCATTGCGAAAGGTCACTGAGAATCTTGCAAGGTAAAAATGTTCATCCTTCTTCACACTTGATTTTATCTTCTACAGGTAACAACACCCTACTCCATCTGTCAGCTTTTACAGTGTGTGTGTGATTAAGAAGTTAATATTGTCATGAACTAACTGATCACCTTTGTGTTGCAGTCTTACACCTAAAGGTCTGAGCCCCGCCCTCACCCCCGCCCTGCAGAGGCTCGTCAATCGGACGTCTAGCAAATACACGGACAAAGCCCTGAGAGCAAGCTACACCCCATCTCCCTCACACGGAGCCATTGGCTGCAAGTCTCCCTTCGGTGGCCCAGCTACTCCATCAGGAACGCCAACGCCAAACAAAGCCAAGACACCAAGCTCTCAGGACGTCGCCTCACTCACAGACAATCTGCTGCAACTTCCCAAGAGAAGGAAAGCCTCAGACTTTTTCTAACGAGGAGAAGCTCCTCTCTGTCGGGATATTATAAGACGTTGTATTGTGGATAACTTTATTAGAAACTCTCCACACCAATTTTTTTCTGTGATTTAAGAGCCCATCTTTCGATGGCTTGATAAAGAAATGTACAGTGGACTGATGTATTTTTATGGATTTATTTGTTTTATGTTTGCACAGATGGGTTGATGTAGATCCCAGTGAAATATACTTTCCAAATTCTATGGAATTATTTGTTTGTCTTATTTTTATATTTAGTTTTGATCTCAAACACCAAGTTTTAAAGGGATTTGTACAGTTTTTTTTCCAGTTTAACTATTTCTCCCACATACGAACCAGCACATGCTTAACTGATATTAAAATATAGTTATAGCTCATTATTTCTTTCTGAGAATTTCATGTGGATTTTAACTCACATCATCTAATAGCCTGTTGCCCTGTTCTTCATAAGTGTAGCCATGACATTTTAGTGTCTCCCTCTAAATGCACAGGTGTTTTCCTGCAGTTCAGCATTGCTGCTACACCCAGAAATATTCACACAGGGTCACAGGGTACCGTAAGGCCATTTTTTATAAAATGAGGTTGGCCTGTTGTGTGGGAAAGTCAGCACACATGCTCCATACAGCTTGATTTCCTACTTACCATTCTCAAGGGAGTCGTAGGTCTGTGTTTTCATTGTGAAGAAGTGAACTGATTTAGACTGAGGTGTGCATTACATACTTAAAATGAACCTTGTATTGGATTTCAGCACTGTTCATATGTAATATACATGTTTATCTTGTTGCAGAAGAGGCTTTTGTTACTTGTATGCCTAAATGTACATTGAAAGAACAAGTGGACACTGTATGGCATTGACGCTTAGTGCAGCACCAGCACAAGAGGACAGACTCTCCTCCTGTGCAAAAAAAATGTGTTTCAAACCTCAGCGGAAGCAAATGTGAAGCTTCAGCAGTCTTGAGTTAACTGGACCTCATCTGACAGTACAAGAGCGAAAAATTCCCCTCTGTGCGTTTTCTCGAGACATTGTTTTTTGGCTGAGAATTGTTTGGATTAACAACACTTGTTATGTCTAACTCAGACAAACTTTACCTAACACTGCATATTTGTACACAGCAAGTACAATAGACTTCCATATCTGTGTGAGAATTGTTTTAAGGCAGACATCCGGATATAGAGTCGCAAACCAGCGGGACATTTTATTGAAATTATTTTTTTGCCTCTGGTTCATTCTAATGACACTTCTAATGGGTTTATCAACCAGATTGTTGACATATGTTGAATGATCCAAAAGGACAATTACAAAATTAGAAAGCCAGGTAGTGTTTGTGTGTGTGTGTGTTTGAGTTCTGTTTGACACAGAATCAGAGCGAATGTGAGCAGATCAAAATGAGGTTTTGTATTATTGTTCGGCCTCATTAATAAATTATTCTGTTGAACACAGGAAAATATGGCTATCTATATTAATTGTGCTGTTTCAAATGAACAAGATGAATTTAATATACAACAGTTTTGGTGAAATAGAAACTTACGTTGGGTAGATTTTCTATTTTTAGGAACATTAATGCTTAGCTGCTTTGGATGGTTCAGGGTCATGTAAGAAATAAAACAAAATGTAATAAAAGTAATAATCTTATAAATAACAACCATAATAATAATGATGATGGTTATCACGTGATAGTGTTTTGGGTTAAATGCAGCACACACACACTCTCTCTCTCTCTCTCTCTCTCTCTCTGGTGATCGTGTGTCTCCGGGTCTGGTCCGGTGACTCCGCCCCGGCAGCTCCTCCAGCTGCCGCCTGTGTGCTGCGTGTTTGGGATTGTTGTGATGAGGAGGCCGCAGCCATCTTGGATCAGCGCCGCTTCGCACCGAGCAGCAGCAGTGGAGGGAGGACGACGTGAACGGCAAAGCTAGCGTTGGTTAGCTCCTCGATCCGGCAAAACCCGCGACCTGTCTCCGCGACAATGCTCCGCGAACGTCCCCTTCCTCCGCCAGCTGCAGCTTTGAACGCGTGAGAGAAAATGGGAGAAAGCAGCGTGAGGCGTTCAACGTAATAGTTCCGGAGGAGGAAGGTGGGAGGAGGCGACGACGGAGCAGATCCTCGGTCTATGTCTTCACATTTCTGGATAGAGGAGTTACTATGAATGGAGGATAAATGTTGCCGAAGGCTGACAGCAGCAGTTTCGTCCTCTTCTCTCTCCTCTTCGTCCTCACGCTAACGGACCCACTACGGACAGGTAATCCCGTCTCTGTTGCTTCTGCTCGGCTCACGTTACCCCGGGCTGCCGCTGTGGAGAGTGGGATAAACAGATTACCAGCTGAGGGGTTCAGGAGGAGAGGCCTGCTGGATAAAACCACGGGCTCCAGTGGGGGGTTCGTGCCGCCGCTGTGCTGCTGTTGCCGGGGCAGTGCGTCGGCACGGAGGCGGGGGAGTTTCAGTAACAACAGGTCGACTGAAACCATAATTTAGGAATAATTAAATCACAAGTCACTCCATGACTTCAATGCACAGCCCACACAGATACTTTATTCTCAGGAAAATGAAATCAACCATTGCTTCTTTTTTTTTAGCTACAAGCTAGTTTCATATCCTCCACTTCTTCTTTGGTTGGTGTCTTCACTCCTCTGAATGAAATGATGTGTTTACATCAGTCTGCGCTTCAGTCGTGAATCTGTCATTAAAAAAAAAAAATGCATGTGAAAGATTCTTCCTCCACTAAACCTGACTCTCATTCCCTCAACCCATCGCAGTGGTTACCCACACACTGATGCCACAGCCATGAAGATGCTTTGGATCATAATTCTTGTAACTTCTAAGTTGATAGATCAAGATAATCGTGTTGATGATGAATAGTCATGTCACTGCTGCAACGTGCTGCAGATACAATACATGACCTATTGAGACAGGACTCATTAAATGACAGAGGGCTTGATGTTGACACTGCTGAGTCCACACAGCAACTTGATTTTCAGAAAAATCCCATCAACCAGTGCCTCTTAATAATAAGCTAGTTGACACTTCTTATTGTTTCGGTTTATTTTCGGGGTGGCAACCAACGTCGAGATGCATTTATCACCATCTACTACTGAGCTCCTCTTTCCCTTTTCATTGCTTCACACCCCCAAGTAGGGTAATCATGTATGATGGGGCTTTTTCTTCTTTGTTTGGTTTATTGGTGTCTTCAATCATTTGAACGAAAGGATTTGTTTACCCTCCACCACATCGGCTTCAGCCGTGAATCTGTAATTTGAAATGCTTGTCAGAGGTTCTTCCTCCTGCATCACCAAACCTGGCTCTCATTCACTCAACCCTGCAGCTGCACAGCTGAAACACATCACAGTGATGAACTACACACTGATGCAACAGCCATGACTCCCCAAGCAGAGGGTTTGGATCATTATTTATGCAACATCTTAGTGGATCATTTAAAGTTATGGTGTTGTATCTCAGGATAAGAAGTGCAGCTTGCTTCAGATACAATACATAACTTATGAAAACCATTAAAACCAACCCTCCTAAGGAAATTCATGGTGCATGTGTCTCCAAAATGCCAGTGCTTAATTAACCGAACAGGCAGGTCACTTGTCTCCTGCATATTGTGATCTCCTCCTGGCCTTGTGATTCTAGCACTTGTATAGATTATAAACTGTTGTCAGCTCAGGTCTTGGATAAATATATTGTTATTTGGCTCAATAAGCAGCTGTGACCTCCTGCGTAGAACACACAATACATGCAACAAATCTGCACCCTTCTTTTTCTGTAGAGTTGTGGCTCCTGGGCACACGTTCACTTCATATTAGGAGGCTCTGTGGTTTATTTTTGCCCAATTACAGAGTGAAGTCAAATGAAGTTATTTATCTTTTCAAAGGCTACATCTTCTATTTTCTGTTGTGTTTGCTGTTGGTTGTGTTGTTGTTTGGGTTGTGATGTGGCCTTCATCCCATCTGTTTACTTGCACAGGCTTCAATGTTAGAAAGGGTGTGTTTTTGCAGAGCATGCTGTTGCACATCATGGGCAAGCTTCCCGGCAAGAAACAGAATAATCCTGTTTCTTGGACAATAATTCCAAACAGAAATAATTGAGCAAGAGTGATAGAGGATTTCTCCTCTCATTTTACAATACGTCAGAACCTGACAGGTAAGCATAGTTAGCATCCACTCTGCTCCTGGCGTACCTGGCTTCCACACTTGTTCCGCAGCAGGTTACTGAAGCAGATAAGTTGCTCTCAAAGGTTAAGGTTTTATTTGAGCTCAGTTGGCATAAATGTCACATTTCTAAATGGCTTTTAAAGATTTGTAAGGATCCTTCAGTCTGACTCAACCAGGTCTAGATGCTCTCCAGTCAGCCAGGCAACATTAAAATTCAGATTGTTTAGAGAGACGCCAGAGAAGATTTTTAATTCAAAAATATAATCATAACCACTTTCAAAGACCAGGTCTGTTTCTCTAGCAAAACATTTCATTTATTGGGTTCCTCCTGTTTGTATGATATGCACTGACTCTGTACAATACACGTGACAAATATAAAAAAGAAGTATGATTTTACACATGACAGGTTTAGTGTCTTGGCCGTGTGGTTACTTCCGTTTACTCTGTTGATACAAACACACTGTGTCAGGTGGACTGGCGACCCGAGCCTGAAGCTATATAAAGCTTCTCAAAGCCTGACCCACTTTAAATGCAGATTTTAAGTATGGACAACACAGACAACGTTAGCAAATATATTTTAATAAAATGATCAAATCAGTCAGAGTCTATTAAAAGTGCATCTTATTAAGATTGAAATCTTTCCCTTTGCGTTCACTTGGCCATAAATTTGAGCAACAAGTCAGCTGAACTTTGTTCATTGTCTATGGGGCTGTGTTACTCTGGCAGCTTATTGGTCACTATTTGTTCTGCACAGAATACGTTGGCCGTGGTTGAACTTTTGGCAGACGTCATCTGTCAACAACCAGTCAGCTGATAGTCCACCGATGAGACCACAGTCACAGTTGACAATTAACTTGCAATGACCCAAATGGAGAACACTTTTTTTTCTACCGATGTTAATTTTAGAAGTGATATTTTGTAGGAAATGTTTTGCCAATAGTTTTGCTCAGGACAACTTATTAAGCCGTTGTCTGCAGATAATTGATTCAGAGCAGCAGAGCTGTGCTCATTGGCTCATTTAAGAGCACTTTATTCACACTGGCATCATAAAGTAGGTCATTGGTTTGGAAAAAAACATTAGTGACCAACACATGTAATGGTTGTTAATGTTGTTTTATATCGCTAATTGTTTCAAATTTGTAAGATAAAATTCTTGTGCTGATTACGGTACCTTGAATTGTCTTTTGTTATTTCCTGTTTCTGTCGTCTGTGAGATGGCCCTGACCTTCTACACTCATCTGGCTCGAGGACAAGACTTTCTCACCCTCACGACTGAAATGTTTTGCAACGCTCCGCTCCTGCTGCTGTGTTGTTGAGCAGAAATAGTTTCATGTTGAGAACACAGAAAGTTCCACGGTGCAGAAATATTTTGCTTAGGGCAATGATACATTTGGGTATTTTATGAAGTAGGTCAGCAAAGATCATCCTGGAACACACGAGATGTTTGAATTAATTTGCAAACCACCCTTGTTAACTGCTCTTTTAATATGGAGAACCTTGTAAAGCTCTGTATTTTAGAGTGTTTTGTAAGTATCCACTGTGGTACATCAGATCTAATGTGAAATGAAATGAAAGTGCTAACACTGGCAGTGCAACACAGGAAAAACTAAAATATGCTTTCATCTTCTTGGAGGCCAATTCAAGAAGTTGCCCAAAGTGCTTTCTTCTACTTTGCAAACGTCACAGCTCAGTTCATCTGAAAGACCTGCTCTGCTTTTATTCACAAAGAGCAGAGAGAAATATTGGTTTTAAATGTGAGTTAGTATAATGAAATGGACGTGAATGCCTGTACCCACTCAGTGCTTTTAACAGTGAGCCTCAGAGCTGATGTGATTCATTAGAGGCTGGAGATGTGATACATGTGCACAAGGACAGTTCACCATTCTTTTGCCTTTCAGTATGACTGAGTTAGGCCACTTTCATAATTGTAGTGTTCTGTTGATTACATAAGAGGCTCACATTTCGAGGAGTAGCCATTGTTAACTCAACATCACAAAATCCAAAGCTTGTGAGAGAAATGGCCTCAGTAGACAATAATTGTGTCCTGCTTGCTCTTCGTTAATCTCAACCTATCTCGAAAATGAAGTCTATAACGCTGTGATACACAGGCAGGTACATTAGTGTATATAAAGATGAACGATGCATCCCCACTTCCTCGCTTTATACCGAGATGAAGATAAAATATCCCAGATTAACAATCTGCTATCTTGCTGGAGCTGTGGTATTGAGGTCTTCTAGATAAACGCTCTAGACTCACCCGTAACAACAGTTGGTCACATTTTCAAGCAGCAGTAAGCAGCCAGATTTGGATTCTGTTCACTGGTTAGTTTCTCAATATGCTAATATAGCGAAGCAACAAGTCTTCCTCCAAAGTAATCATCTAGCAGCCGTGCACATTTCTTAGTATCCTGCCTCCTCACCTCCTCTCGTCACATTACATACATTTGTTTTGTCTTAATATTAATAATTTAAATCACTAACAAATCTTCTCTAATGCGTTTGGGATACGTGGTCTCTAATGGTATCCATCAACCTGACACACATTCATGCTCGGTGGGGTCCCGGGAGACTGAGGCAGGTCTGTAATGCGTCTCAATCCACTTAATCTTAAGTAAGACAGGGTGACGTCTGGTGTGTCAGAGTGCTTTTAGGGCACCTTTTGACAGAGTGAAGACTATTTCAATTAAGGTCAGCGTTTAAGGACAGAAAGTGACATTAGTAGTAGTAGGGCATAAAAAGTACATCTTGTGTAATGTGAGATTCCTTTTTGTTAAATAATGGTTCAAGTTATTTATCTTTAAAAGATCTGAACAGTCCTCTAGTCGTCTTGTGTATAAGCTCAGTGAGAAGATGATTAAGTTGTTGAAATAATTTTATCCTAAGGCTCCACTTTGTATGATGATCATTATGGAACAAGAATTTTTTTACTCTCTAATTCTGGAATCAGCAACAGGCCCTGAAAATCCATATTGGTAAAGTTGTAAATGTAACAATGGGAAAGCTTTCAATGAAGTCTGGTTTTAAATAGAATGCATTTGTCACTGCGTTCCCAAAGCTAATATCTAGCTGGAGTATAAATAGAGACTTGTCTCCTATCTTAAAACTTAGAGTAAGTTTCGACTTTGCTCTGTGGGCTCATTGAAAATCTTTTTTCGTTCAACGTCTTCTCAGTTGGTGGGTACACAGGTGGAACAATAGTCGTAGTCTTGAAATAGCCCAAAGCTTCTTTTTTTTCTAAGTAAAAATAGCGTTGCCATATTTGCCAGGTGAGTGGGTGGTCCAGCTCCACTGTGGGTCCACATACCCACCTGTATCCAAGAACAGATGGTCTAATGTACACACCTCTGGGGGAGCACCAGGGGAAATCACTGGACACTGACTAATACCAGTTGTCGAGAGTATAAATAATAGATTTCCTTATAGATGAAATAGAGAGCAGCACAAATAAGCAGAACACGGTCTGTTTTTTAAATCACACTGGCTTTGGAAGAAGTAAATTGAAACTTCCTCAAAGTCAAAGACACTTGACAGAATAGTCACGCTGTTGTTTTTATTTGTTTCAGGTCCACGGCTAGCTCTGGCAAGATTATTGTCAGGTAAGAAAGCTGTGTGTCTTCTAGTGTGGAAGCTGTCTGAGCTTTTTGTTTGAATATATCAGCAGCTTCTTTAGTTTAAACTATTTGTCTCTAAAGCTCCTTAGATGAAAATCTGAAGTTTTCCCAAATCCTTAGTTCTTTGTGGTTGAGCTCTGACTCCAGCTGATCATTTTTTTGATATGGGGTTAGAAAAACATATTTTTAAAGTATTAATAATTGTTTTTTTCTCTTTAGTCAAGAGATCATTTCTCTCGTGATAGATAGAGACCGGTTCGTTCATCACATGAATAAAGTTTAACACAGTTTGCTCTGATGCAGAAGAATGGCTTACATCAGTCTCACAGGATATGGAGACCCACTTAGGTCAAACTGTTGCTGAGGGATATAAACGGACAATAAGCCTCTACATGTTGTTAAGTATGTGTCTGCTGTAGGTCTGAGGCTGCCTCTTTCCAGTTGCCCTCATTACTGCAGTGTTATTTAAAGACTAACTCACAGAGGTCATGTTTTATTCTATATATTGAATTACTCAGACATGATCAGAGTTACCAGTGTCTATGAACCAATTTAAAACTATATATTTCCCAACTGTAACTGTGGAATTTCCTCATTGGCAGGATCCCCTTTTAATTTCTACCAATTATCTATATTTATCCTTCATTGCTTTGTCAATATATCGGATTATATGTGTGTACTGAAGCGCTCAGATTCACTGGCTGCAGTGGTACCTCTGGTTTTGTTTGACCCTTCCCTTAATTTATTCCATATGCCAAATTTTCGCACAATCATCATCATCTGAGATGTCTTTTAATCTGCCATGAAAAGTAAAGTGTCCTCCTTCAGTCTTCTGCTGGACGTTAGATTGTTTTCTCTTGTTTGAAAGATGCCTCAGTCACTCGCAGGTTTTGACCACTCGACCTCTCCTGTTGTGTTTCAGAGCAGCGCTGCAGCCCCGGGCAGTTTGCCTGCCGCAGTGGGAAGATGCAGTGTATCCCAATGTCCTGGCAGTGCGACGGCTGGACAGCATGCGAGGACAAGAGTGACGAGATGGACTGTCCCCGTAAGTAAAGCTCGCTTAAGCCCTTTTACACCCACTGTGTTATCCAACACCCATACCATGATTGATTTCTGCAAAGAATAGCAACACGCAGGACTTTTTCCACATTTGGACGATTGCATCACAACTGAGCTGCTCTATATAAGTGTGGATGCACCCAGATTGCCTTTTAGATGCACTGGGATATAGTCAAGCAAGTTAAAGGTGATCCATGGTGCATGTTGTTGACAACATATGAAGAAGTAACCTACAGTGTGTGCAAATACATTCATGACTGAACTGCAGGACCTCCGCCAAGGAAGTCATGTTTTCACCCACGTCTGTCTGTCTGGTTGGCTGGATTATGCCAAAACTACTTACTAACAGTTTTTCCTAAAGTAAGTGGGGAACTGGGACAACCTTTGGTGGGGATATGTACTCTACTGAGTGCCGTTCCGGTTACTTCTGTAGTGTGTGTTTGTAATGAAACCCCTAAACACAGTTCAGTCCAGCTGGTTTGCTTTTACAAAGTGGTTCAGACTTAATGTTAAATCTGCAGGTCGGAAAAAGGTCTTTCTAATCCACCACAGTGAATCACAAAGATTAGCTGCCGTGGACTGCCAGCCTCAGATGGCAGAAGGATGGAGAGTTGAGTTTTTAGTGGCTGCACGTGTGTCAGTGTTTTTGTTTATCATTTGTTGATCTCTTCAACACTGCATAGATAATGCAGTGCTAAGCCTTTGACCGGAATCCTATTGTTTTCTCCTAAACCCGGAGAGACCTTATCCCCAGATCTCTGACTGCATAATGGGAATTATTGAAAAGGATTGAGTCCAGCATGTGACCTCCATACAGCTGTACATACTCTGAGTCTGAGATGCTGTAGGCCTGTCAACAACACTGTACACTGAGGGAGGTTTCCCACTGGACTCATTTATCACACAGGAAATAAAAGCAGGAATTGTTTGTACAAGCTTCGCCAACGGCACTGAACACCGAAGCAGAAGCGTCCTTCTCTTTTCTTTCTAACCACTAATGCGTACGTGTATCTTCTGCTGATTATTATTCGTTGAAAGATCTTGCAGCTGAGCATCGTGTTTCTGCGTGTGCAGCGTATTTGTGCTTTAATCGAGAAATGCAATTTAAAAAAACACAGTGTTTTACATATGCCTCAGTGAGCAGTCTCTGCTAAATCAACAATCTTTCTTGGGATTAGCTCTCTGTTGGATAACAAGTACAGTAGCAATCCTTCACATTGAATCCAGCCAGACACAGACAAATGCTAGAGCAAACTGTTCAACCTCACCCTGTCAACACACAAACTAAAAAACAAAACCCAGGAAACCGTGTTATAGAAAATACACTTTGCAGGCTGAAGAAAAGGAAGCCACATTGCAAAAAAAGAGATGTAATTGTTCCTTTAACAGCAGACCAACAGACTTTTAAAGTAACAAGAGGAAGTGTGTGGTTAACCTAGTGCAGAGTATCAGGTTTTTATAAAAAAATAACATGGTCTGAAGATGGAGAAAACACAGTAGATACCTTATATTTTAAGAAATTGTGTTTAATTAGATTATCAGAATTTCCTCAGCCAAGTTTTCAGTTCAGGTTTCAGAAATGAGAAATTGTGAACTCTCCCACTTTACCACAATTGAAGTTTGCTATTGTATAGTTTAGCCCAAAACATTATTCGTTCTGCTTTTATCTTCCTCAAATCTGTGTGGACTGCATCGTGCACTTCCTTTTCTAAGTTCTAGGTGAGTCATTTCTTCTTCAAGTTCTTGTTATGAGAGATGACACTGGAACAAACGTTGATCAAAAGCATTAGTCTATGAACACATGAAAACAGAAACTTGTGTTAATTTTTAACAAAACAAGAGCTTTTCCAACAACATGATTTAGTCAGAGCTGCAGCAGAAACAATCAGCAGGTTATCGGTTAGTGTATCAGACTCTCGGACAAATGAAAAAGCTTTGAACACAGGAGAGGTCTGACAGTCTCTGGTTACATCAAACGCTTTTTACAGGTTGCACAACACAAACCAATCTGTGCACTGAAAAACCCCCTCAAATAACTGGTGGAATAAATGACTAGTGAAATAAATGACAAGTGGAAAAAAGTTCTCTTTTCTTGACTTCTTGCAGCTGTAAAGGAGGAGAGGTTTCGGTTTGGTAATGGATACGACCAGGTAGAAGACGTCATTGGTGTGGCGCAGCCTGTGCGCTTCAACAGTAAGAATCCCACTCTGCTTTCCCCTTTTTATTTAGGACTATATATCAACCACAATGTTAAAGTTTCTCCTTGGTCCACAGAGAAATGCCCCAGCGGGTGGCACCACTACGAGAAGACAGCCAGCTGTTACAAAGTGTACCTGCGGAACGAGAACTACTGGCAGGCCGTGGACACTTGTCAGAAAGTCAACGGCTCACTGGCCACGTTCGTGACCAACGAGGAGCTGCAGTTCATCCTGAAGATCGAGGTGGACTTTGACGATAAAGTCTGTGAGCGCAAAGACCAGTGCAAGTGAGTTTGTGTCTGGTGTGGGAGTAAAAGCAAATGCAGGAGGAAGGTCCAGTGTTCTGTGTATACTCCTGTGAAACATTGGAATCTAAATTAACTTCATGCAACAGTTACAGATGCCACAGTTTGTGTGGTCCGTCACATCCCACAGTGCAAAGTACACCAGGCCGCAGTTGTACAGGAGTAAATGAGTACATGTGGTACTCACATTTCCACCTTAAGCCAACTGCTTCAGAGTTTATTCACGGCCAGGCTGGGACCATGTCCTCTAAAGGATCTCGGTGATGTTGTTTTGTTGTGACTGGAGTGAGAACACTTTGTTCATACTTGCCCAAACGGATCACGCTGGGGGTGAAAACAAAACAGTCTGATTTAACAAGAGCAGAGGTGTGAAAACAACCCTAAGACTTCCAAACATTCCAGAAGAGGCTGAATTTTCTGGATGTTTTACCATCGAATAAAACTTTGTGATTTTCCTCAGATATTTATTTTACCAGATAATCAGATGTGATACGTTTGGCTTCTGTAGAGGAGGTCTTCCACTCTCCAGAGGGTCAGTGGTTCGATCCCCTGCTCCTCCTGTGTGTGGAGTGTTTGAATAGTGTGTGATAGAAACAGTGCTGCCTATATACGTGCTGGGTGAATGGGACTTGTGCTGTAAAGTGCTTCGAGTGGCTGAGAAGACCAGAAAAGTGCTATTTAAATACAATCTATTCACCAAGAATGGTTTCTCATGGTTATGTCAAGTGCCCATAGGCTGTGCAGTTTCTGTGATATTTCTGCAAACGTGCTCGGCTCTGTTCAGCCTCCACTTTCTCTGTTTCACTTGGTCTCTCTTTACTCAATGAAAAGCTGCCAGAACATCTGTACTTCTAACTGTTGTCAGAGACTCATTCGCATTTTGAGATTCACATTTTCACTTGTACTCGACTTTTCAATGATAGTACTCTGTTTTGTTAGTAGGCCACCTAGTGGCCAATGGTTGCAATTTCATCACTTCAAATTGGCATGTGCACAAACCCTAAAATAAACCAAAGTCAATTTAAACATTTTGGTTATTTCCTTTCTTTTTAAGGTTTTGGGTGGGCTACCAGTATGTCATCACCAATCAGAACCACTCCCTGGAGGGCCGCTGGGAGGTAGCCTATAAAGGTATACATGTTTTTCTTTGTTAGAATAAGATGTTCATTTCTGATTCTTGACTTGAGTGTTGGGAATGTTTAAAATTTCTGGTGTTTTGTCTGTCAACAGGATCAATGCAGGTATTTCTGCCACCCGAGGGTCTCACCAGTGTCGGGGAGGCGTCTCCCACCCAGGAAAACGTCTTCTGTGCTCAGCTCCAGCGCTTTCAGATCAAAAGCATGAATGAACGAGGCCTTCACAGTTGGCACGCTGAGAACTGCTACAAAAAGTTCCCCTTTCTCTGCAAGAGGAGTATGTGCTCATGTCTTTTTTCATCCAGATGGGTCAAAATCATCAGCATGTGTGATGTGTTTTTAAAATTTAAACATGATTCTTTTCCCTGACAGGACAAACGTGTGTGGATATAAAAGACAATGTCGTAAACGAGGGCTACTACTTCACCCCTAAGGGGGACGACCCGTGTCTGAGCTGCACGTGTCATGACGGCGAGCCTGAGATGTGTGTGGCAGCGCTGTGCGAGCGGCCGCAGGGCTGCCAGCACTTCCGCAAGGATCCTAAAGAGTGCTGCAAGTTCACCTGCCTGGACCCAGGTACTGCCCCCTCTGATGCATCTCACTGATTCGTGCTGTTTCACACGAGCAGAATGTTCCCATGCTTTTAGTCACTGGTTGTGGTTGTCAACGAATCTTTGAGTTTGTATGTTCTGTACATGAAAACATTTTCTTGTAACCTTCAGTGCTCATAGTCCCACAAGATGCAGCTCCACACAAATCTACTATATTAAATTTGCTGCAAGTTTGACTTACAACCATTGGATTTCAAACTCTACAGCATAATAATGATTTAATAATAAATAATTTAATTAAATAATTTAATAAGGTGGTACCTTTATAAACACCACATGGTCGCACACAGACCTTCACTTTTTCCTTCTCTTTATTTATCACAATGAAGACAAACAAACAAACTTTAGGAAAAAAAAAAGTTTAATAAATTGAATAATTTAACAAGAATAATGAAGATTAGCCTGGTTTGAATTAGAAGTCTAGTCTGAGCTTTGTTTTGTGGACTCAAGGACACAAATGAGTTGTTCTGATGCTGTTTTCTGGTCTTGGCACATAAACAATGAGAGAAATTCAAAAATGTATTCAACTCAGGCTTACAATAAAGAAATTGTGTCTGTATCTTTCTCTCACGTTCCTCGTCAGAAGGAAACAGTCTGTTTGACTCGATGGCCAGTGGAATGAGACTGATCGTCAGCTGCATCTCATCCTTCCTCATCCTCTCCCTGCTGCTCTTCATGGTGCACAGACTCCGACAGCGACGACGCGAACGCATCGAAACACTGATTGGAGGAAATTGTGAGCATTCTCTCACACACGCACGCACGCATGCACGCACGCACGCACACACACACACACACGCACACACACACACACACACACACACACACACCTACCTCTCTCTGGTCCATAATAATGAAGTTTTGTAATGAAGCTCAGTGGTTATAATGAGTTTCAGTCGATTTAATTGCAGCTTGTGATTTTTCATTTTTATATTTTTGCTGTTGCAGCTGATGATCCTCTGTATCTGTTTGTTTTGTCAGTGCACCACTTTAACCTTGGAAGACGAGTCCCTGGCTTTGATTACGGCCCGGACGCCTTTGGCACCGGTCTCACTCCCCTGCATCTGTCTGATGATGGAGAGGGAGGAGCTTTTCATTTCCAAGAGCCTCCGCCTCCGTACGCAGCCTACAAATACCCCGACATCCAGCACCCCGATGACCCCCCTCCTCCGTACGAGGCCTCCATCAACCCGGACAGCCTCCTCTACGTGGACCTCGGTACGCCCACATCCTTGTCTCGTTATTCATGTTCCTCGCTGTGTTCAGAAAGAGAGTTCTCATTTCCTCTCCTTGTCGTTTCCTTCAGGACACAGCAGGGTTTCCATGGTGCCGAGCCAGATGAACGCCATGGGAGACGGCCTGCAGGCAGATATTCCCAACACGTCTTGCCCCATGCCAGGCTCAGCGCCGTCCACTCAGGAGAGGGAGGACTCCATAGATAGCAGCACTCTCCTGGTGGGGCCTGACACGCCGACAGATGGCCACACTCCCGCTTCCATGCCCGCAGACTGCACCTCCCTCAGCACCGTGGTATAGGCCTGTGGACGGACGGCATGGAGCTGCACCTGGACATTACCTGCTGGTGGAGGAAGGTCATGAGAACGTCCTGCACACAGGAGAGGACACAGCACGTTGTTGTGTCATTTATCTAAAATGCTGACGGCAGAGAGGAGCGTTATTGTTTGTACAGACGAATCAGACGGTGGAGCAGCCTGCTCTCTTTAAGGTGACGGGATCGATGCCCTCATTCTGAAAATTGTGCAGTTGGACTTTTGAAATTGTTTCTGTTTTTTTTCACCAGCATCCGAGGCAGCAGAGAGGACTGTCTCTGTACAGAGAAGAGAAACACTACAATCTGAGACAGCGACACTTTTACTTTTAGCGTCGACTGAGCGAAGCTTTTTGAAAACATCTCAGAGTTGACCTGCCCGGTCGAGACGCCCTGATGTAAATACCCCCCTCAGGTCTGTGCCAGTCCGATTTGTAATACTTGTGTGTTTTAGTCCCGCACAAGACGGGGAAAAAAAGACAGCCGGACAGTGAAGCCAGCTTTTGTTCCTTGTGCTTTTCTCTTTGCATCATACTGTTAAACATCTGCAAACTAATGTTCCCATCAGCCCCGTCTGCCGCAGCATGTCCCAGAACAAGATTTCTACTCGCTCGTCCAAACCTTCTGTCCACTCACTTTCTTATTAGTCTGATACATGAAACCGTCTTCCAGGTTTATAGCTCATATTTGCATCAAGAGATGTTTTCTAGTTCGGAGGTTTAACCTCCTTAAGAAGGTACGATTAGTTCCCTCCTGTAAGGTTTTTCTGAGCTGACACGAGGCGTTCTGTATCAGCGGATGTTGTAGTACTGATAAATACTGAATTTATGTTTCTGTTCGACGATAATTTATGACTGCAGCCTGTAATATTGATTGATTTATTTTGGGACGGACGCAGCCTCACATCCTAACTGTGTGGCGAGCTGTGTGCAGTTAAGGAATGATACGTCGTTAAATTTGAGGAGAAAAGTTTATTTAAAATAACATTTTCGATCGTAAAGTTGTTAAATTACGCAGTGTTGTTACTTCATCAACTCTTCACAGAGTAGTTGGGAAAAGATCCTTGTTTAGTGACGAAGTTCATCCCTTGATTAAATTATTATTATTTTTTTTATTTGGAAAGTTGATTTGTCATTTGTCACATTTGAATGCTTCCTCTCCGCGTGTGTGTGTGCGCGTGTGTGTGTGTGTTTCTTCTCTCAGTACATTTGTCATCCAGCTTGTTTTTCAGCTACTGATGGAGATGACGTCACTGACTGTAGATGTGAATGGTTTCTGTTTTGGTGTTGACGGGTCTGTTGTTCTTGTTTCTCTGTGGGATTGCAGTTAAAAAAAAAAGTGTAATAAAGGAAAAGTGTAAACTGTATATTTTGAAGTTTGCCCCCCCGGTTATGACGACAATCGTTTGACTCACTCGAGGATGAATTTTATCAGACGAGCCACAACCACCAGCATCCAGCAAGCTTTTGTTATGAAGTTTATGAAAGCAGTTGTAAACGTGTCTGAATGACTGTGCACATCTGTTTCATGTTCTTTCTATCGCTATTTTCCCATTATTCCAGCATATTGACAATCCACAGTGGATTATCCATCAAACAAAATCTCATGAATTGTCGGAAACGTAACATGCATGTGTGTATAGGAGGTGGTGCACCGGTCTGGGTTCCTTTATTTTCTCATCAAGCTTGTTTGGTTAAAATGTTTTGACCTGCAGTGCATGTTTTGAATCCTCTGGCATGCTGAGAGATTTTGATTTTTGTTTTATTTTGATTTTTAAAAAACTTTGATGGATATATTTTAAACAGTGTGTCCTGTACAGTCGGTTCAAACTTCCTGCATATAGTTTCAAATTCTCCGTATGCATCCACAACCCGCCCAAGACCCGGACAGCAGCATTTACACTGTAGATTCTGTGCGAGACTATGGTGGTGTGAGAACTAACTTTATTGGATTTTGAAATGTTTTATGTAAAATATGACAAACACTTTGTTTTACTGTCTTTTATTTCTTTAGCCTTTTAAATTTTACAAAATGCTTCATTTGCAGACGGGAAGGAGGGGCTTGTGTTTTCTTTTTCTGAGGTAGATGTACATCTAATCAAATGCCAAATAAATTGCACCATGAAGGACGTCTCATGCGTCAGTGGGTATGAACACACGCCGGACTTTGTCGCACCTCATCGATCATGACATTTAGCTGCTGTGTGAGTCCTTTGACTCGATGAAGAAGAAGAAGAGGATTAAGGTGGGACGCAGGGAAATCCCCCTCCTCCAACTGTGAGATGGAGGTTTCTGGTTAAATTCAATCCACCGCAATCAAGAGATTCAAATAATTTAAAGAAAGCGGATATAGAGCGCCGTGCGGTGACTCACGAGGCAGCAGGCGGAGCGGAGATAGTGATACCCTGCTGGAGAGCATTGTCACCAGAGAAAAGAGGCTTTGTTCACACGGGCCAAGTAGTGACAGAATCACATAATCTATGAGTGGATGGGAGAGACGCAACACTTAACGCTGAGCGGTTCAGTCAAGACCATGGTTGAATTTATCAGACGGGCGAGAAGAGTAACCACATTCACTACTTTATCTGAAAGCCACAGAGATAGAGTTAGAGAGTTACAGATAGAGCAACTTCAAGTTTATTTAGCACATTGAAAACATGAGTTGAGCCAAAGAATCCTGGGTAAAAACATGAGATGTTCCTTGTTAGGAGTACAATTTATAGAATAGGACAACATACTATGAGACATGGACGATAACGTAAAGTGACATTAAGTAAAATAATGAACCATGATGTCACAAACTAATTCAGTATGATTTCTTTTTCATTTCTCATTTATTTCATGTGCAAAACATTGAAAATAATTCGAATTAATACTTTGTGAATTTACTCATCGGACAATACATTTATTTACTTAGATTCACCAAATAATCTACATTGAAACTTTTGATTATAGAGGATTTTGTTTCAGTGCTTTAAATTGTTTCTGTGATGGACAACCTACCTAAAGATCAGAGGGATTTTCCCACATCTTATTTCGTCCCTTTCTGTTCTATTCAGGCCTTCTTCGCTGACGCAAAACCACATATACGATCTGCTCCTTTCTAATTCAGCTTGACTTTCCCATGAGATGAATGTGTCTTGTTACTAGTCGCCGGGCATCGATGCTGGCAGTGGCGAGGAGGGTGAGGAGGAGGAGGAGGGACGAAGCTGTGTGTGCATCAATGAGCCTGTTGATCAGAAAAAAGACCACTGGACTGGTAATGACACAGTCCAGCGATCAGGCCAGAGGAAATAAAACTCAGCTTTCACCTCCGTCTCCTTATTTAAGCCACAACGTTTGCACTGATCTTCAGTCTACCTCAAGATATTGTCTGCTCCACCGGCTGTGGGACGATGATCTGGACTGCTGTTCTTCTCACGATGCTGCTTTCATTTGTGGATTCTGGTGAGGGTCCTGTTTTAGTTACACACGACAAAAACTATATTGATTTCTGATATTTGTTAAATTCAAGTTACTGAATTCAAGGAAAGAAAAATGACATTTAGCTGTTTTTGTATTGCAGACGACTACTGCTACAATGAGCCACATTGTGGTAAGTGACCTATCAACTATTACTTTATTTTAAAACCCAGTCTATTTTCTTATTATAACAGTCATGATAACATAAATATTACCTGGTTATCAACTGGTGTATGGAAAACAACATTCAACTGAAACAGACCTTGATTTAATGCAATTTAAGTATTTTTTTCTGTCATTTGTTATTTGTGAGCCTTTAAAATTAAGAAACATCTTTTCACCCATGGACAGAGACATAGATTTCCTGTCTTTCAAGTAGGGAGCTGAGATTTCCTCCTCTCAGTTTGGTTAGACAAAATAGAAAACTCTGAATAAAGGGGAGTTTGAGAGAGAAGAAGTATTTTTTTCATCACAAGGTCCATTTAGTTACTGTTAGAACTTTAGATCCGACCACACGTTCTTCCTCAGCAGATGTTTTTGAGCGAGTTTTCCTCAGAGAGCAAGATAGAAAACGACATCGGATCATCTGGTGCACTGAGTTTGATGCAGTGTGGTGAGTTCTGGTTGAAAGCTCCGGAAAAGAGCAACTAACCGGACCTGAACTCTGTTTGATGCACTTGGATGAGAGGCCTGTGATTCAGCATCAACAGGGAAAAATCCATCTGAGGAAGAATGTGTGATATGATCAAAAGCTCCAGAGCGGATACTCAATGGAGCTTGAGGGGAAATTCTTACGTCAACTTTTTGACCTGTTTCCAAGTTTAAGAATCAAATTTGAGACTCAGGATTTTTCTTCTTTCATGTTCCATTAATCATCTTGAGATCAGATTTATCTTGTGACCCTCGGAGAGGACTCGTATTTCATGGGGTTTGTTTTCCATCCTCAGATCCTTACGCATGGGGAGACATGTTCCTGTCATGTCACCCTTTACTTGAAGAGCACCACTCTCCCATTAATCTGGGCCACCAGACCACCAGGAATGTCTCTCTGGGGCCTTTACACCTGGAGGGCTTCGATGTGACCCAGTCGGGCCACTGGACGCTGAAAAATGACGGACACTCAGGTGAGGACACCACAGATACTTTCCTGTGTCATTGTCTCTTTGGAGATTTGTGTTGGCGATGACTTGATTGTGGTTGCGTGCAGTCGTGCTGCAGGTCGGCAGTGGGATGTCCGTGAGTGGTGGAGGTCTTGCAGATGTGTACCACACCATCCAGCTGCACTTCCACTGGGGGGGCCCGTCCACGAACGGCTCAGAGCACACGGTGGACAGACGCAGATTCCCGATGGAGGTACAGTACGGTCAGTAGACAGCTCCACACTGTCACCAAGCAAGTGTTGCATCAGACTCCTGCAGGGTCCGTAACGTCTCGGGGCTTTTTGTTCCTTTCCAGATGCACATAGTCAGCATGAAGTCCATCCATCCCAATCTCACAGCGGCCCTGGAGGATCCCACGGGACTCGCTGTTCTTGGATTCTTCATTGACGTCAGTTTGTGGTTTTTATTTGATACAATCAAGCATTTTGCATTTACTTTTTTATCACTGCGTCCCAATATGCATCTTTTCTTGCAGGTTGTTTACGCAGAGAATGTGCACTTTGGACCCATTTCACAGAAACTGTCCTCTGTAGCTTACAAAGGTGAGAAAACACACACACACCTGCTCATGTTGTGCGTCACTGTTTCACTCATTGCTGTTGTGTTCCTCTAAAGGCCAGACGACCAAAATCAAGCCATTCCCGCTGATGAGCCTCCTGCCGAAGCACAACATGAGTCAGTATTACCGCTACGACGGCAGCCTCACCACCCCCCCCTGTTCTCAAGTGGTCGTATGGACTCTGTATGAAGTCCCCATCTTCATCTCGTGGTCTCAAGTAGGAACCTCAATCATCTCAAATAACACTTTCCATTTAAGTAGGTCTACATGGCTTCCTGGGTGACACTTGTATTTCCTCCTCAGCTGGCTCAGTTCACCTCGCAGATCTTCTCCACGGAGGAGGATGCAGAGCAGGTGACACCTCTGCAGAACAACTTCAGACACGTGCACCCCACCTTCAGTCGCACCATCTCCGCATCCAGAGACGCCAGGCTCCTCGTGGGGGCGGCCGGTCGTCCCCTCAGGTCGGCTGCCTTGGTGCAGCTGCTTCAAATGCTTTTGCTGGGGAGTTTCATCTCTGCTCTTTAGCGCTGCCTCAAGTTCAAATCATGAAAACGTGACGAAAATGGATTCACGTAGAACCTGAGGTGGAGTTTACAGATCTGTAGAGACTGTCCAGCAATGAATACATATATAAAACTGAGGAATAGTACTGTTGTTACTTAACTTTTCATGATTGTACCCTGCAGTCTCCATTAATGCATCACTAACTCTTTAATGTGAAAGGAGCCTTGGTGCTATTGATATGTGTATTTATGACTGGGGGTCTTTATTTTCACTGTTCAGTAGCTTATTCTTAAAATCCTGACATTTAGTTTTCATTACTTTCTTTCATTACTGACTTCGGGCCTGAGATTGATTGTAGTTGTAAAATTAAAGCGTTTCTAATAGTCTTTTACATTTTGATAAAACTTTCACATATAGCTAAAGGTGGCATGCTAACGTGTTTATTTCATAGACTAGATATGAAGATGGATGAAGCGTCTCCACTCTCCAGAAATGAAGCCCCTAACGCTGCCATCTTGCTCCAATGACGCGATCAGCGAGTTCCCTCCGATACTCGACCAATCACGAGTCAGTCTCAGCTGTCACTGATCACATTTCACCTGGTTTCATATCCTTTGATTTGGTGCCTTTAATACAAATTTCAGAGTTTTATTTGAAAAGTCTCCTGTTGAAGCGATTTAATAAAGAGATTAAAATAAAGTGTAGTAAAAGCTGATGGAATGTTTCTCCTGCACCCGACATGCAAACCCTGATTTTTGCATAAATTCCAGAACCCATCGGCATCAATGTAAATAAGCATCACGCAAAGAACAACTTCAACTATTCAAACTAACTGAGCAAAACAAAACAGATTAAAGAATAACAACACTTATTATATACTTTTTCACTGAACCTGTATTAACATGTCCTGTGTCATATATCAGCTCTTGTTTCTAGTGATATAAACTCCAAACGTTATTGTCTGATTTGTTTCCAGTTCTCTGAGACAATTATGTAAAAAGGTTTCAGTGAGGTGTAAATCTGCGTCAACATCAGGAGGACATGTTAAAGTAACACGACCCTGCAGGAGTGGAAACCCTGCAGAATGACTCATCATAACTCTGATTATCATGAGTCATGACTGAGGGTGAAACATGTTTGAACATCATATGTGGATGTTTCTATGAATGTGTCCAAAATATGAGTTTTGCAGCCGATAGTGTCTAATCATGAAGTGCTGCGTGCTTTTTGGGGGAGGGACCGGATCAGTTAAAACTTAAAATCTGATGCATTCAAACATTTAATCATTTCCTGTTGAAAGACCTGCTGTAATATCAGGACATTGTTTTCATTGCTCACACCAGAGACACCACACAGCCTCTAGAGGGAGCATTCTTATCGAGGCAAAAGTACCATGGTAAAAAAATGACATCATGAAATTGTGACTTTATAAAATAAGTAGAGGGAGCACAGCTGGAGTGACAACATCTGACCAATCAGATCGCTCGGTGTAGACGTGTGTGTGTGTGTGTGTGTGTGTGTGTTCGATATCGTTCAGCAGATGGAGATGAGTGTGAGTTGGACGCCCATACTGTCTCTGACTCTGCCATCCTCTCTGCTTGTGGTCACACCATCCTCCTCCTGTCACGGCCTCGAGGCGACACACACACACACACACACACA